GGTTCAAGGCTAGCCTGAGCAACACAGCAAGACCTGTAGTAGAATAGTTTAAGGTGTGTTACTTCTGTTTATGTTGCATTTGTTTAACTCCGTAAAGCTGTGTTACTGTGCCTGTGTAAAACACCTGATGGTATAATAAAGAGCTGGCCAATAGCAAGGCAGGAGAAAGGATGGGGGGCGGGGGGCTGGCAGGCAGAGAGAATATATGGGAGGGGAGATCTAGAAGGAGCCAGAGAAGTAGAGGACATCAGGGGCCAGCCAGCCAGCTACACAACCAGCAAGCCACAGAGTAAGATTTATAGAAGTAAGAGAACGGGAAAAGCCCAGAGGCAAAAGCTAGCTAGAAACTAAGCCAAGCTAAGGTTGGGCATTTATAAGTAAGAATAAGACTCTATGAGTGAATTTATTTTGGAGCTGGGTTGTGGGCCCCCCAAAAGAGCCAAAAGACAAACAACAGGGACCCCAGCTTAGGTTGGGAATGTAGCTCAGTGATAGAGTGCTTGCCTGGCACAAGAGAGTCCCTGAGTTCAATCACCAATACAGAAATAAAAACAAAAACAAAAAATAAAACCTGTTTTGACTAAAAGCCCTGCCTGGTGATCAGTATCTTTAAAACCAACCCTTGGGGAGGTTGAGGAAAGAGGATAATTTTTTTAGGTTTTTGTTGTTGTTTCCCCCATGATCTATAGGTGCACCGTGGTGCATGTGTGCATGCACATATACAAATAAATAGAATTTACTTGGGAAGAGAAAACAGACAGTGGAGAGGAGGAGGGACTGGTTGGCAAAATACTGTGCAAGCATAACAACCTGCATTTGGTCCCCAGCATCCTTGTTAAAGCCAGCATGGCAGCACAGCCCTGCACTTCCAGTGCAGAGGAAGCCGAGACAGGGTGATCCTTGGGCTTTCTAGCCAGCTAGTTTAGCTGGATATGTGAGCTCCAGGTTCAGTGAGAAAGACTCTCTAAAAAATAAGGTGAAGCGTGATTTGAAAAGACACTTAACACCAACCTCTGGCCTATACACACACACACACACACACAGGCACACACACAGAGGCACACATGAACACATACGCAATGATTAAGGAAGACACTCAACATTGACCTGTGGCCTCCATATACGTACCCACATTAACAAACTCATACCAAGCATTAGAAAAGGGGAGGAAACTGTCAAGGGAAGTGGCATGAGAGGTTGGCAAGATGACTGACAAGTAGAGGTGCTTACCACACAAGCCTGACTCCCTGAGTGTGACCTTCCAAACCCAAAGTGGGCAGAGGGAACTGATTCCTGAACGTTGTCTTCTCACCTCCACATGGTTACTGCGGCCCGTGCTTACCAAGACTCACACACAGAGTGCTCCAACAGAGTAAACAAACAAGGAAGTGGTGTGAGGGACTGGGGAGATGACTCAGTGTGCTGTGTGCTGTGCCATCATGAGGACCCAAGTGCAGATCTCCAGCACCTACATATAAGCCTGGGGTGACAGTGTACATCTGTAACCCCAGTGCTAGGGTGCAGAGGCAACAAGACCCTGGGGGCTCCCGCTAACCAGCCTGGCAGAATCAGCAAATTTCAGATTCAGTGAGAGTGTCAGTCTCAAAAAATCAGGTGGAGAAATGTAGAAAGACATCCAATGTCAACCTCTGGTTTCCACATGTGCTTACATGGTCAAGCACACCTGGACACAAACATATACATTACATACATAACCACACATAAAAAGAAAAATAAAAGTAGTGGTATGAAAATATTTTTCCAGATTTTAAAATAAAGTTTCTAGATTGATAAGGCAGAAAGAATGCATAAGAGAAACCAGCACCAAGGTACAGCGCTTGAAACTTCAGAACTCCAGAAATAAGAGAAAGTCTAAAACTTAGGGATAATAGCTGCTCACTTAGGGTTAGTGTTCAGAAAGCCACAAGAATGCTCCAAAGCGATAAACTAGATGCCTGCTTGCAAAACTGTCTGATAGTAGGGACTGGAGAGAAGATGGCCCAGAAGTCAAGAACACTTGCTGCTCTTCTAGAGGACCCAAGCTAAGTTCCCAGCACCACCTACATTGGGCAGCTCACAACCACCAGCACCAGGGGATCCCATGCCCTCTTCTGACCACCACATAGTACACAGACACAGACACAGACATACACACAGACACACACACAGTTAAAATAAATATTTTAAAATCCAATAGAGGGCTGGAGAGATAGCTCAGAGGTTAAGAACACTGGCTGTTCTTTCAGAGGTCCTGAGTTCAATTCCCAGCAACCATGTGGTGGCTCACAACCATCTATAATGAGATCCAGTGTGCTCTTCTGGCCTGCAGGCGTACATGCAGGCAGAACATTGTATACATAATAAATAAATCTTAAAAAACAAAACAGAAAGCAATAATAAAAAAAATCCAATAGAACTGGGCACATGCTTTTCATCCCAACATTTGGGAGGCAGAGGCAGGCAGACCTCTGTGACTTCAATGCCATTGTGGTTTACAAAGCAAGTTCCAGGCCACCCAGGGCTACATAGTGAGACCTTGATTCAAAACTAAATAGGACTGGAGAGATGGCTCAGCACCTAAAAGTACACTGGAGAAAGAAATGGCCTCTGACCCTTTGGACTCGTCTGTCTGCAGCATAGGTCATTCCTTTTAGCTTCTGCCAGGGTTATTTTCCCCAGACACAACAGGGGCTGCTTGTCCTACCCCACCTCCACCCTCTGTTTAAGCCAGACCCTTTCCTCTCACTGTTTATGTTTTTCTTGGAGAACATGCTTTTAGGTGCTCTAGCTTGAGTACTTTTCTGTTCCATCTGCTTTTTAATAACACTGGCGTTCCAATGAAGTGTTGAAGCAGTGGGTATTCACTGAAGGGAGGAGCTGCAAGGGCTGCACTGGAGGATGCTCTGTGATAAAAAACTGGCATTCGATGTGTTCAAGCTTCTATTTGTCTTACCACATTTACTCCTCATTGTAGTTGGAATTTTCTTTGGGCCACCAACCAGCTCCCAAATAAAGACACGGAAACTTATTATTAATTATGAATACTCAGCCTTTAACTTAGACCTGTCCCACTAGCTCTTTTAGCTTAATTTAACCTGTTTCTGTCCATCTATGTTTTGCCTCAGGGCTTTTTACCATTCTTTCATTCTGTAGGTCCTACTTTCTGCTTCCTGTGTGTCTGGCTGGCTAGCCCCTGGCATCTCTCCAGCATCTCTTTTTCTTTTTTCCCCCAGCCTAATTCCTCTTCCTGCTTAATCTCCCTACCCAGAAGTCCCGCCTACACCTCCTCCCTTGCTATTGGCCATTCAGCTTTTTATTAGGCCAATCAAGTGCCTTAGGCAAGCAAGGAATTTTGACAACTGTTCCACCTTGTCTTGGCAAAATTCAGCAGTCTTTTTCTTTTGTGTCCTGCTTGTCCAGTTTGTACAGCAACTAAGGCAAGGGCAGTTTCTTGCCCAAATGACTAGCTTTGCCACAGTGGAAGCAAATTCCATATGGAGTTTCTTCGATGCCATCTTCCTTTTATAAAGTAGATTGGTGCTGCCAGGAGTAGACACGTCTCACTGTCATCAAAAGCCTTAGGTTATTAAGCATCTTAAATACCTTATTCTGTAGGTCTCTGAATCATTTGAAGATCACCTGTTATCTAAAATACATCTGTTTAACCTTGAAAACATACCTAACATGACTACAAGTTTGATTGTTATAGATGACTAACTACTAACCTGCATTTTTAAATTATTCTAAACAGTTTGTAATAATAGCTTTCAAGGACTGGAACTTTACATTACATTTTTAAGTGAGCTGCATAGGTACAATACCTTAAACAAGAGTAGAAACATACATACAGTATAACAAAAATAACCAAAGTATACAAAAATCCATACCGTTATAAAATATTTGAGATGAATAGTTGTCTTTTTGTCCTGTATTCCTATATCCCCACTAAATGATAACAAACATCCATAACTCACCGAATGACCAAAAACCACCCACCCCACCTCTTGGGAATGTGGGCATTATGTTCTCTAGATTGCTTCCTGTTGTCTGGGGGTGATGGCATCCCCAGGAGACCCTGAGAAAATTAGAATAATGGTCAAGTCCTAAGAAAACTAGCTATAACATTTGTTGTCCAGTCTCTGTAATGGGAAAGTGCAAGGCTTATCTGAAGTCCTGACTAGAATAGTCTGTGAGGCTAGACCATCTCAACTAGCAGCCTTGAAGTTAGTTCTGAATGCAGAACTCTGAGGAAACTGCAACAGAGGCACTCTGAAAGGCTGGATCACCTGGGCCACCCATTTTCATTGGTGTCTGGTCCTTTTGCTCTGAAAACACATGAGCTTTCAAAGGCAATATACATATATATATAGATATAGATCTATATGTATATATCTGCATTAACACAAGTATAGACTGTGCATTATACATAAGCCAGCCAAAGATGATGTTTTGTTTTATGTTTGAGCAGGTAAAAGACATCTGTCAATTTTACAAGTTTGTTTAGACTGTATAACCAAACCTCTATCCATGCCATATGAAAGAATGGCATGTAATAATAAGTCATGATGACTCTGTAACCAACAAAATTTATCACGTGTCGTCCAGTCTCAGAGCTGTTCCCATGTCAAGGGATTGGCATATACGCCACCTGTCTTATAGTTTTTCTAGGTTTATTTCTTTATGTCTGTAGCCAAGATTTTCAGGGGGTCTCCTCCAATCAAATTTGGTCTCTTAATTTTGAAGGAATCCAGAGCAACACATCTTTACATAGTTAAACTAATATTCCATAACACCTCATTAAAATGTGGTATTTCCATTCTTCTACCATAACTGAGTATATTGTTTTTAAATACTCACAGGTCTGTATGATAAGCCTTGTCTGTCATGCCTGGGATGTCTTCATTGTCACTGCAGTAAGCAGGGGAGTAAGCTGTGGAAGGGAAGATGGGCTTTTGTATTTATATTCTCATATTTGTCTTTGTATTTTCTTTGGCCCACAGATTGGGGACCACAAATTCAGTGCTCACCGGATCGTCTTAGCAGCCTCCATCCCGTACTTCCATGCTATGTTTACTAATGACATGATGGAGTGCAAGCAGGATGAGATTGTAATGCAAGGAATGGATCCCAGGTACTAAGCTCCCTACCATTGTGCTCCCTGGGGCCAGTTTTAACCTGAGCCTTGGACCACATGAAGGCCTGCAGTAGAGCACAGTATGCAGTAGGACGAGTCCATACACACTGTGGTAGTTAGAAGATGGGTGAGCTCCTCAGTCAGCGACCAAGGGAGGGTTCAAATGAAAGGAGGTTTGCTTGCTTGCCCAGGCAAAAGGTGAGAGTGTGTTTAGAGTGTTGGGACACAGTAAGATAAGGCAGGGTAGAAGGTTCAGAGATCAAAGAGATGGAGAGGCCAGCGCTCTATGGCTGGAATTTGGATTTCATTCTCCATGAGAATGGGAAGTCAAAAGTACAAAGTTAGAAATTTCTTTCTAAAATTTACCCCTAAACATCAATAATTTTTAAAAATTGTAATGGCAATAAGAAGATAATAGTTATGGTGCCTGCTAACAAAGGCAAGAAATTAGAACATGCTTTAGTGTTGAGTTATCATATAGCAACCACCCAAACAGTAAACATGAAGCCAGTGTAGCAGAATGAGAAAGGGCTTAATAAATCATTTTATTGCCAGACAGTGGTGGCGCACACCTTTAATCCCAGTACTTGGGAGACAGAGCCAGGTGGATCTCTGTGAGTTCGAGGCCAGTCAGGTCTACAGAGCAAGATCCAGGACAGGCACCAAAGCTACACAGAGAAACCCTGTCTCGAAAAACCAAAAAAAAAAAAATATATATATATATATACATTTATATATATATGTATATATATATAAAATTTGTCCAATTTTATGTAAATGGACAATTATTTAGGTATTGTTTTGTTGTTATTTGTTTGTTTTGGGGCAGGTATCACTATGTAAAGCAGACTGGCCTGCCTCTGACTCCTAAGTGCTAGGATTAAAGCCGCCACACCTGGCTAGGATGAATCTTTGAAATAGTTATTCCATTTAAATATATTCTCAAAATGGATTTTGTTTGTTTGTTTTGCAATGTAGTCTCACTATAGATTAGGCTGGACTTTGAACTTGAGATTCTCCTGCCTCAAACTCACAAGTGCTAGAATTACAGGCATATGCTGCCACACTCACCTCAGCCCAATGGATTTTTTAAAAGATTTGTTTATTTGTTTATGTGTGTGACTATTTAAATATAGGCACATGTATGTGATTGCAGGTGAGTGTGCCTATGATAGGCACCCATGGATGCCAGAAGAGGGAATCAGATTCCTACAAGCCAGAATTGCAGGCCTCTGTGGGACACTGACTTGCTGTATGGGTGCTGGGGTCCAAACTCAGGTCCTCTCAACTGGAGTTATCTCTCCAGCCTCTAAATGAATGTTTGAACAGGGCTCATCTATTCTTCAGGTAGTGTCTTAGTCACCATGACCATGGCAACTCATATAAAGGAAAGCATTTAATTCGTGCTTATTACAGTTTCAGAGGTTTAGTCCATTATCATCGTGGTGGGAAGCATGGCAGCACACAGGCAGACATGGTGCTGGAGAAGGAGCTGAGAGTTCCATATGTATATCTACAGGCAGCAGAAAGAAAGAGAGAGACACTGGTACCGGCTTGGGCTTTTGAAACCCCAAAGCCCACCCCCAGTGACACACTTCCTTCAACAAGGTCACACCTACTCCAACAAGGCCATGTCTCCTTATCTCTCTCAAGTAGTGCCACTCCCTGATGACCAAGCACTCAAGTATAAGAGCCTAAGGGGCCATTTTAACCACTACAGGTAGTCATATCAGTTCAGTTAGGATCAAGTGACCTGTGGCCAAGAAAGAGCTTCTCATGCTTTTCCTCTTCCTTCTAGTGCCCTGGAGGCTCTCATCAACTTTGCTTATAATGGCAACCTTGCTATAGACCAGCAAAATGTGCAGTCGTTGCTGATGGGGGCAAGCTTCCTGCAGCTGCAGAGCATCAAAGACGCTTGTTGTACGTTCCTCCGAGAAAGGTGAGCAAAGCAGATGATGGGATCGTGCTCAGTTCTGGAACCCTCTGCCACACTGCTGAGTCAATAGTGTATCTGGGGTTTTCTGAACAGTGAGTTGGGAATGTTACTCTCTCGAGATGGCATTTCTTGGGATCATTAGTGTGCAGGGCCCATCTCTTTGGGCGTTTCCATAGCCCTGCCTATACTCTTGTGTCATGACATAGACCCATCTGGTCAGCTGTTAATGTAGCTAATTTCCTCCTCTTTTTCTTTTTCTTAAATTTAAATTTAAAAAATTTTTTGAGAATTTTTTGCTTGAGTTCTGTATTTACATATATTTGTTTTGTTTTGTTTTGTTTTGTTTTGTTTCATTTCGTTTCGTTGTTTTTCCAGGCAGGGTTTCTTTGTGTAGGCTTGGCTCTTCTGGAACTCACTCTGTAGACCAGGCTGGCCTCAAATTCACAGAGATCCACCTGCCTCTGCCTCCTGAATGCTGGGATTAAAGGCGTGCGCCACCACTGCCTGTCTTATTTACATCATTTCCATCCCCACTGCAACTCCTCTTGTGCCCCCCCACTCCCTTTCAAATGATGACTTTTTTCTTTGTGTGTGTGGGGATGAGTGGGGGGGAAGCTTAAATATAGTCTGCTGAGTCCATTTAGTGTTGCTCATAATCTCGCTAACTTCTCACCAAACTATTTTATTAATTTACTTGGCCTGCCTTTGAACTGTTTCATAGCCATCTCCATGTTTGCTTAGATACTTAACCTTCCGTAAGTTTCTTGACCTTTTTGCACTACAGCTCCTTCAGAACTCACCTATATTTCTGTCCTCTTCTGTCCACTGAGAGCAGTCACCATGTGGTCTTTTAGAATGATGGCCATGGACTATATACTCTCACTATTTCTGCCTCTTGGCAAAGGGTTTCATGGGTTCTTCTGTGACCTTTAACTGATCAGATAAGGCTCTTCCCTCCCTTAGGGAATAGCGCTGTCATCAACTAAAGGCCATTTAATCACTGGAGATTTGGAGATGAGAATTAGTGCTGGGCCATACGAAGGCCGAGAAAACCCAGAAGAGCACCTCTGTGTATATGTTGTTCTCCCAGCCCAGTGTCCATGCTCAGCCTGATGATCAGCATCCCTTCCACCTCAGCTCTGCCCTCAAGAACATCATCCTCTCAGAGCTCACCTTCCCTCCCCCATTCCCACTCTACCAGTCCTACTCACTGAGCTGTCTGTGGCCCCTGCAGGCTGACCACATCCTACTTTTGTGGTGCCCATGGGCATTACTCAGCCCTGTCATGTGCATACCTACACACAATCATGGTAGTGATGCCTCAAATGTAGAGGTGTGCATCAGCTACCTGCAGGGCAAAGGGTTTCACCTTGAGGTCAGTGGCTCTGTGTTTGGTGTTGCAGATGAAAACCTTGTCGTTAGTGACAGTGCAGCTCCAGAGCCAGGCTTGTCCCTGCCTTGATGACAGATGCACACCAGGATGTGGACATACACACCAGGATGGACACACACCACACATGAGAAAGAGAGAGACAGAGACAGAGAGAGACAGAGACAGAGAGAGACAGAGAGACAGAGAGAGAGTGCTCACTTGATTGATCTCTTTGTTCTCATAGAATTTGGCTTTCAGATGGAGTGAGTGCTTCCAATTGCTATTCTGACACTTTCATCAAGGGAGGACAGCTCCACCTAGGGGATCTTGAGGTCATCACTCATTCACATTATCATAAGGTGCTTAAGCACCACTGAGCAGCTGGACATGGTGGTGCACACCTTTAATCCCAGCACTCAAGAGGCAGAGGCAGGCAGATCTATACAAGGCCAGCCTGGTCTACATATTGAGTTCCAGGCCAGGTCTACACAGTGAGACCTTATCTCAGACAAACAACAGCAAAGACAATGAACAATTATTTCCTTTTCTTCTTGAGATAGGTCTTATCATGTGACCCAGGCTGGCCATAAACTCATGGCAGTCCTCCTGCCTCCACCTCTCAAGTGCTGGGATCATAGGTGTGTGTTCCACCTCACCTGGACAGAAGCAGTTACTTTGTCTAGACTAGTGCAGTTTTTACTTGTCTTAGTGACATCTGAGGAACAAATAACTAAGCATAAAGCCTGATGTTTTGAGTCTGCCTTGAGTGTTTCTTCATCGTTTCTGCAGGACCCGGTCTGAGACCCAGGCCCCTGCTTCATTACTGCCTTCCTCCTCTGCCATGAGCCCCAGAGGCCTGGCCTACTTTCTGTTTTCTCTCCAGTAATTGCTGTTTCTGTTTCTTCAGCCTGACTGTAGAATGAGTGAGGTTTTCAGCGCCCTTCTTCCGTGTACATTTGAGGACAAACACGTGGGCTTCATTGTTTGAAGGTTTGGTTGCCAGTGCTTTAAGGAAAACCATTTGGGGCATGAAGGCACAGAGAAGCTATAATGGCAGCATAGTTCTGAGCTTACCTGGTCTATTGGCTCCACCTGTTGCCTCCCCAACCCAGAGATTGCAGTTGACTTTTTTTCCTGGTCTTGTTTTTGTTATGTTTTGTTTTGGATTTTTTTTTTTTTTTTGAGACAGGATTTCTTTGTGTAGCCCTGGCCATCCTTGACCAGGCTGGCCTCGAACCCAGAGATTTGCCTTCCTCTGCCTCCAAAGTGCTAGGGGTAAAAGCATGCACCACCACTGCCTGGTGGGCCTCCTGGTTTTTAGATGAACACTGGAGTGAGTTTCTGCAACCCTTCTCTCAGAAGTAGATTGTTTTGGTGGATTTTTTCGCCTTGAGGTACTAGGGAGTCAAACCCAAGGCCTTGTACATGGTAAGTGCTCTACCACTGTATTGATTTTATCTAAGTTTTTTCTATTTACCAATGAAGACCCGGGAGTTAGATGTTGGGATGAAAAACTGCTAGCTCAAAGAGACCAAGAAGCAACAAGCTGACTTTCCTTTTTGGCCAGAGACCTAGCAAGAGAGCATCTCTCCACCCATCCCAAACCAAAAGGACCTGAGAATCTAAAGTCCTACCCTACTTCTTTCTGTGTATCTCTCTCTATCTCTCTCTCTCTCTCTCTCTCTCTCTCTCTCTCTCTCTCTCTCTCTCTCTCTCTTTTCTGGAGCTGAGGACCAAACCCAGGGTCTTGCGCTTGCTAGGCAAGCGCTCTACCACTGAGCTAAATCCCCAACCCCCTCTGTGCATCTCTCTATCCATCTTCCTGGGTCCTCCATATTCTCTATGGCTAATTCTTGTCAACTAGTCGCTAGCTCCACCTCCTGATCCAAGGTTAATTTAATTAACATAATCTTGGAGTCTCACAGTGTGATCAGATATCCCCTAATACCATTGAGCTTCATCACCAGTCTTCAGCTAAACTGAAGATGAAATGCATCAGTGAAACAACTCAGTGATTGTCCTTCATATCCCTGGTGTCTGTCTTCAGTAGCGTGTTATACCAATAGTTTCTTTAGGACAAAATTGAGCTGTCAGTGAAGAATATCGCCATGGGTGGGGCGTCTCTGTTTCCCTTTGGCTTTATTTCCCTTCCTGTCTTCATCCTTCTGAATGAACCTATTTGCTCTGTGGCCACTGTCTCTTCCATTTCCATCTGCAGGTTACTTCCATTTCCTCACAGGTTTCTCTGTCGTGTCAGGTGTAGTAGTACAGTTTACTTAGGGAGGCATGATTGGTGCTTCGTATTAAATCAGGCTGATCAAAGGTACAGGAATCCTAGCCTGAAGAAAGCATGAAAAGGAATGCCATTGGGTGCATGGCTCATTCTGTCCCTATCTGTAGGCTCTACTCAGCTCGGTGAGTGGTGTTGGGTTTTGGGCATGAATAAAGCACCTGCTGCAGGAGCCCAGGTTTATCCTCGTCACCTTACATTGGTAAAGTGCTTTAACATCTCACTTAACCACCGAAGTGCTCTAGAAAAAGCACTGAGAGATGCTGTATCCTGAGCCCCATGCTCACTGCCTCCCTGTCCTGTCTGCTGCTTCACGTAGCGATTTTGTTTCCCTGGCCTTGGAAAACGCACTGAGGTGCCAGATGTAGTCACTGCTGCCTGTCATCAGAGCACTCAGAAGGCTGAACCAGGGCATGTCCTCAAGTTCGAGGCCACTTCTTGGACTACATAGTGAATTCCAAGACAGCCAAGACTCTAGAGGGAGATAGGAAAGGAAAATTTGGAAAATTTGGTCCCCCAGTGTCTGCTGCTGTCGCTAAGACTTCAGACCCACGCTGAGTTTGTTCAAAAGTAAGAAAAACAAATATAATAGAAACTAAAACAGCGGCAGCTTCATACCAGGCACCGGTCTAGTATTTAGCCAGCATTCATTTTGTTTATTGTGTGTGTGCACACAGATGTAAGCCATGTGTGTGAGTACCCTCAGAGGTCAGAAGAAACCATCAAATCCCCTGAAACTGGAGTTACATGGTTGTAAGCTATCTGATAGGGTACATGGGTCCTCTGGAAGAGTAGCAAATGTCCTTAACTACTGACCCATCTCTCTAGCCCCCATTCTTTTTCTTCCTTAACTTCTTTTCGTTGTTTAAGATTTTATTCATTATCCTTGATATACATAATAGCATGTTATGTATAGAGATGTTCATAATTCTGATTTATATAATTACCTAAAACAAATACAAGCTAACTGCATAACAGTGTAGTAATAATAACAGTGGACATTAACACACTGAATTAAATTTCAACTTTGTTTACCAATAAAAATATAAAAGGAAAGCCCCGGCGTTTGTACTGTGATGCTCCAATAAACCTTAGTGCTACCAAAGAAAACCCCATATATACAGATATATCTATATATATAAATGAAAGGACACCAGGAATTTACATGTTAGCTTTGCACAAGGACTGTGCAAATCTCTGTATGTTCCAGTTTTGTTTATACATCTGCTGGAGCAAACACTATTTTTTTTACCCTTTATTTTTGTGTTTACATGGGCACACACATGCTATGGCATGCACATGGAGATCAGAGGACAGCTTATGGGAGTTGGTTTTCTCCTCTCATCATGAGTCCTAGAGGTTGAATTGAGGTTGTTGTCAGGCTTGAAAACAGGCTCCTTTATCTGCTGAGCTAGCTCACGGGCCTGAAAGCACTATTTTTTTTAAGTTTTGCTCGTTTTTTGTGTTTGTTGTTGTTACGTACCTATCTTGAGAGGGGTGTGCATGCTAAGGCAAATGAACGGAGGTCGGAGAACGGATTTCAGGGTTGGTTGGAGCCTCATGTCACCCTGAGAACGCCAGGCTAACTGGCCCATGACCATCCATTTTCTTGTCTCCCTCTAATCTCACTGGGATATCCAGTGGAGACCACTACGTACAGCTTTTTGGTGGGTCCTGGGGACCAAACTCAAGTCATCAGGCCTGAACAGCTGGGGCTTTATCCACTGAGCCAGCTCCCTGGACGTGTTTTGTTTCTCTGAGACAGGGCCTCACATAGTCCAGGCTGATCTTAAATTCCTGATCTTCCTGCCTCCACTTCTTGAGTGCTGGGATGACAGATATGTACCACCATGCCTGGCTTTATTTGTTTGTTCATTTGTTTTTAGAGATTATGTGGCCTAGAGTGGCCTCAAACTTCTGAGCTCAAGTGATTCTCCTGCCTTACTGTCCCAATCACTGGGACTACAAGGCACGTACCACCACACCAGTTCCCACGTTCTCTCTTCATCATAGCTGCAGCCCTACTCACTCAGTGCATAGTTGTCATCCTATCTTCTCTCTCTCTCTCTCTCTCTCTCACACACACACACACACACACACACACACACACACACACACACACACAGAGCTCTGGCTGTCCTGCAATGTCATCATCTTTTCTATGTGAGAAAATTAATGACACTTCTGAGAACTTAAGGAACATGCCTAGGTTCCTCAGAAAGGGACAGGCCCAGGACTTCCCAGGCTCTGATGACTGCAGGTCTGCCGTGGTGTTAGAGCCACAGAAGCAAGATGTCTGATTTCAATCTCAGGACCTCCACTTACTTGTCAAAGTACTGGGAACACATTTCTTGGTTTCCCTGGGCTCTGTCTTCCACTATAAAAGGAAGCAATCCGCAGGGTTGATTTTTTTTTTTCCCCCTTTTTTTTGGTTTTTCAAGACAGGGTTTCTCTGTGTAGCTCTGGCTGTCCTGGAACTCACTCTGTAGACCAGGCTGGCCTCGAACTCTCAGAGATCTGCCAGCCTCTGCCCCCCAAGTGCTGGGATTAAAGGTATGTGCCACCACCACTTGGCCAGGGTTGATTTTTTTAAAAAGATTCTTTGTGCATGCGTGTGTGTGTGTGTGTGTGTGTGTGTGTGTGTGTGTGTGTGTGTGTGTGTGTGCATGCGCACACGCCATGTGTGTGTAGGTGCCCTCTGAGACCAGAAGAGGACATTAAATATCTTGGAGCTGGAGTTACATGAGGTTGTAAGACACCAAATGTGGGTGCTGGAGACCAAACTCAAATTCTCCAGAAGAGTAGTAAATGCTCTTAACCTCTGAATCATCTTTCCAGCCCTTAAAAAGGATGCTTAAAGAACTGAATGGAGTCTACCGGTAGACTGTTTGCCTCTGTGTACAAGGTCCTCAGAAAAGTACAAATAAGGAACTGAAGAGATGGTGTGGCAGTTAAGAGCACCTGCTGCCCTTCCAAAGGGCCAGAGTTTAATTTCTAGCACCAACACAGGACAACTGTCAACTGCCTGTAGCCATAGCTCCAGGGATCCAATTCCTCCAGCCTCTGCAGGCATCTGCACACATGTGCACATGCTCACACACAGGCACACACATACACATAAGTAAAGATGATAAAATTAAATCTTTTTAAAAAGTATAATGATTCTGCAGAATGGGTATAAAAAGCCTAGCAAAGTATTTTAGTCACTAAAGTGATAAACTAATAATAGTTGTTGCTGTTGTTTCTAGGGGTCTAATTTCTTAGGTTAATGGAGCTTCTCTCTACCTAAAATAAGAAAAATGTGTGATGCTCCCTGTATTGAAGAAAGTGTCTCTTCCATGCCTCTCCTTCCTGGTGCTTCGAGGTGGAATAGTGCCCCGGATCCTCTCAGAAACCACACAGCTGGATGTGGTGACAGGGTTTCCCAGTGCTTACTCTCTTTACATCTGACAGCTGCTTCACAGGACTTCCCCAGAGTCTATTCCACTTTGACATGCAGAGGGCCATGCCCCAAGAAGCAAAGACTTGAGGCTAGCCCATCTTAATTTAATACTGTTAGAAGTGAGTCTTAGAGAGGGGTACCTGATATCATAGGGGGATTCCAGTAAAACTGGGAACAAAATAGGACTTTTGTTCCATGGCTATGCCCAAAACCATTTTGAGAATGATTGAATATAACATTATTCCTTCCTCTAAACTTTTTCTTTTCATCTTATGTCAAAGGCTTCACCCCAAAAATTGCCTGGGCGTGCGCCAGTTTGCCGAGACAATGATGTGTGCTGTTCTGTATGATGCAGCCAACAGCTTCATCCACCAGCACTTTGTGGAAGTGTCCCTGTCTGAAGAGTTCCTGGCCCTGCCCTTGGAAGACGTGCTTGAGCTGGTGTCTCGGGATGAGCTGAATGTGAAGTCAGAGGAGCAGGTCAGTGAGCAGAACAGCAGTCTGTCCACAGAGAGGGCAAGCTCCTTTCTCTCCTTCCTTCCTTCCTCCTTCCTCTCTTCCTTCCTCCTCCCTCCCTCCCTTCCTTCTCTCCTTCCTTTTTTAACAAATGAACATACAATTTTTATGATTTTTATGTATTGTGAGGTTTGTGTTATGTATGTTTTTCCTAAAAACTTGCTTTTATTTTAGTATCTAAATAACAGTATATTTATCAGCTACATTTCCCTTATCGTTAGAACTTGGTTTAATTGCAATATTTATTATTAGAAATGATATTGCCATAAACTGGAAATGAAGCACTTGAAGTTGGAGAGAGTGTTATTGTTGTTACTGTTAAGGCGAGAGAAGTTATATATCCTTTACTGTTGGTGGGACTTTCCAGAGGAGGGGGAATTTGGTGGTGCAAGCGAAATGAGAAAATGGGGTTGGATGGCGTCCTGAAGTAAGAAGAATCAGAGTGTAAGGCAACAGGGGTCGGGCATTAGACAGGAGCAAAAGCCACTGCGTCATCCAGAGCAGCCCCAGCCGGAGCTGGTGTGCATGCTGCGGATGAGGGAGGTGCTAGGAGAGGTCTCTTACTGACGTTCTGCTCTGATTGGTTTCTCTCTTCTCCGCTGAGAATGAACATGAAGAAAGAATATTAGAAATCTGAGGGGAAATGAAATGTATGAGTGGACGGTGGTGAGAGATGGGGAGGGCTTGCTGGGGAGCAGGGCCTGATGACTAGGCTTAAGCTTAAAGTGCTTGGCTTTGTGGTGTGTTCTCTGCCAATGCCATTTATTGGTACAGATATGGAATAAAAGGCACCTTAACTTTGAAGAGCTGGATTTTGTGGGTTGGAGAGATGGTTCAGTGGTTAAGAGCTCATTTTCTTGTCTCTTCCCCAATCTCTTGTGTGACGTGGCTCCCTACTGCCAGGACACCTTTCCCCTCAGAGCTGTAACACTAATACCCTCCTACATCTGCCTCCCACATGCTGGGATTAAAGCTGTGCACTACCACACCATACCTTCATTTTATTCTTAAATACAGGGTCTTACTGTGTAGTCCTGGCTGGCCTGAAACTCACTTTGGAGACCAGACTGGCCTTGAATTTACAGAGATCTACCTGGCTCTGTCTCCCAAGTACTGGGATTAGAGGAGTGTTGCCACGTGCCCAGTCCATAAACAATTTTAAAGACCAAGAAGTGATGATGTTCAGAGTGTGACAAGGATGTATTTTTAAAATGGGTGACACTAGGGTCTCCCCTGAGTGCAGCCTCAAAACGATTGTCTCCTTGTGAAGCTGGATGAAGAACTCCATGTGGAGTCCATGGGTTCTGGGCAGCTGTTATTGGGATCAAAGAGGGGAGCCGGGCAGAGAGAGAAGAGCTGTGAATGGGGCAGGTCTCCAGAGGACCCATGTCTGGTTTCCTCATATTGGGCAGCTTGCAACTGCCTGTAAGTATAGCTCCAGGGTATCCATCACCTCTTCTGACATGGGCACCCACACACATGTGACATACATACTCTCTCTCTCTTTTCCCAACCTTCTCTCTCTCTCTCTCTCTCTCTCTCTCTCTCTCTCTCTCTCTCTCTCTCTCACACTCTCACACACACACACACACACACACACACACACACACACACCACTATGAAATTGGGAAGCTCTTGAAAGCTGTGTATAACCATCCTGCATGGTGGAGTTATAGATAAAGTCAAAGAAAAGTATTATCTTCTTAGAATGGTCAAGAAAAATTAAAATAAAATCATAGAGTGTTAATCGTCAGAGAGGAGCAAAGGATGCTCTTCCATATCAACAAGGGTATAATGTAAGTGGGCTGACGAGGACACTGAGTGTTGAGACCGAATGGTGAGGGCTGGCAGTGATGGACGTTGAATACAGAGGAAGAAGTTCTGTCAGGCAAACACCCGGGGCATCACTACTGCCTTTGAGCCATTGAGAAGTCTAGTCAAAATCTGAGCCATTTAGAAGAGTTGCAACCAAGAGCCCTACCCTGGACTAAGGAAATGACTCAGTGAGTTCAGGGGGTGAAGAGCTTGTGCTGTTAGCATGAGGACCTGAATTCAAATCCCCAGAGCCTACAGCAAGCTAGGCATAGCAGTGGCCTCTGTAATTCTAATACTGCCATTACAAGATGGGAATGAAACATCAGAGACAGAAACATCCCTAGAAGCAGCCAGGGATGTTGGTGCATGCCTTTAATCCTGACACTCCAGGACAAAGAGGCAGGTAGATCTCTCTGAGTTCACGGCCAGCCTGGTCTACAGAATGAGTTCTAGAACAGACAGAGCTACACAGAGAAACCCTGTCTCAAACAAACAGAGCAAAACAAGAAGTATAACATCTTATACACTGTTTATTGGGGCCCTCCTGGGAAGTGCAGGAAGCAGGGCCCTAAGGGCAGTAGAGGGAGGTGGGTAGTGGGGAAGAGAAGGGCATGGTGGCAGGGAGAGCCTCCCCTCCCTATTCTAGCCCTAGAAATTATGAAGAATGTTGTTGATGATGTCATACTTGGCATTTTCATAAATGTTCCTGGTGTTAGGGGGAAGATCTTTGGGCTGGTCCTCCTCAGAGACATCTGCCACAGGGTAATCAGGAAAACCGTTTACCTGGGCACCCTGTAGGAGAAAAGCCTCACAGTCACTACCAGCACACTAGATGGTGCCCAACCTGCCTGTGGTCTCCCCCTCAAGGAGAGAGTGAGGCCACAGAGGCATCAGCTACAAGGGCATGATGGGACATGGAAGCCTAACCTCCATCCACCAGAACCCAGAGGGCCTGGGCAGATCTGGATGAGGAGCAGGTGGGCTCCCACTGGCCACCAGAGAATTGGTGTTACAGGGCACCAGAGTCCCCTCTAGAACTCTTCCAGGCCCTCCTCTGCAAACAGTGGGAAGGTCTAAGCAATACAGACACAGCACATGCCACACCTTTCCAGACACTTGCTGCAAAGGGCTTGGTTCTGTTTGCAGATGAAGACCCTGTGTATGCAGCACATACACAGTCCGTGTCTCCCAGAGCCCAAGAGAGCCCAGCAAGGGGGATGGGCGACCTCAGGATTGGACCTCCGCAGTGAGAAACCTGGAGGAGACGCGGGGCAGCAAGCTGCTCACCTCTCTACTGCAATCCCTGTCGCAGCTCAAGGTCAAGGAGGTTGAGAGCCGCCTTCTGATGAATTGACCTGTGCAGTTTCGATCCTCCTGTGAGGGGTAGGGGAAAGGGGGGGGGGGGGACAGGACAGGAGCTAGAGGCATCTTGTCACATTTCTGGAGAGAGGCAGGCACTGTCCTCAAACCAGAGATGCAAGCCAGAGCCAGCAAAGAGAGACAGTGGATGGGAAGGACAGATGCACACCCATGAATGTAAACGACAGGACCTCCATATACATTATTAGAGGAGAAGGCACCTATAAATTATCACGCCCAGAGAAAACCATGTTTGTTGAAGGTCCTGGGTGAAGATACATCGACAGCTGAGCCTGTCCCTGGGAAATGAGGTTGTGAGTCAGTAAATGTAACCATTGCTTTCAGTGTGAATGGTAAAAGAACATTTGAAGTACGTTACTTTCTGGTTCAGTTTTAAAAAAGCAGCCTCTCTAGTGGATTATAGACACACTTGGCCATTCTGCTCTTTTTATATTTAGTAGGTTTTAGCAGGCAGTGCCTCCTCCCACACCCACTTTGTGTGGCACTGGGAATCAAACCCAGGGCCTTGAACATGCTAAGCAAGACTACCACGGAGCTACATATTGCTGTTTTAGAAAGTAATTGCAATAATTTAAAGTAAGAAAAGGTGTTAGAGAAAGTCTGGCTTTGCTTTTTTCTAACAATTCTTTGGGGTGTGTGAGAGTGCATGCCTGTAGAGGTCAGAGGACAACCTGTGGGAGTCCGGAGTCAGCTGTCTTTACCATGTCAGTTCCAGGGGTTCTTTATGCACTAAGCCATCTCAGGACCCCCCCCAAAAATGTGATTTTGAAAACGGCTTCAACATTAAAACTGCTGGTGGTGAAGTGGCCAAGTGATGTGGACGGAGCCAGGAGAGGAGAGAACTTCTGTTCCTCCGTAAGGCAGTCTGGGAGCTGGGAGAAGGAGACTCACCCCATTTTCCAGGAGGTTGCAGTTTTGAGGCTGTCTTTCCGGGACGGAGATGCAGTCTGTCTCGCTAATACTGAACTTGAGTGGGAAATTGCTAGTGGGATTCTAAAAAAGCAACAGAGACATCTAATTGTCTCATCTAATTGCAACAACGACCATCTCTCTTGTACAGATTGGGGAGCAAAGCACAGAGGGTTAGGTGATGCTGCCTATGTCAGCCCAGTCCAGGTCTACACTGTCCACCAAAGTCTGGGGCTTATTAAATGGCCATAACAGACCTAAAGGGTACAGTCAGTGGGTGTGGTGGCATATGCCTGAATCCCAGCACTCAGGAGGCAGATCTGTGTGAGTTCAAGGGCAGCCTGGTCTACACAGCAATCCCAGGCAGCCTGGGCTACATGACATTCTGTCTAAAAGGGTGAGGGGTTGTGGTGTTTACCACAGATAGCTGTATGACACTCTTCAATTGCCCTTCAGTACCGTCCTGTATAAAGTAGGAATAAAAATCCCTTCCCCTCAGGTCTCATGCCAGGAGACAGGCTGACAGTACAGACTTGTCCTTCCTGTGAGTAGATGAAATGGTTGGCCTAGAACTCATTATATAGCTGAGACTAACCCTGAACTTCTGATCCTCCTGCCTCCACCTGCCGAGTGCTGGGGTTCAAGTCCAGGGTTTCATGCCCCCAGGGCAAACACTCTACCAACTGAGCTACATCCCCAGTGCCCAGGTAACAGAAACCTTCTACACTGCCTGTTTCCCAGGCTGGGGTGGCAGACACTCACCTGACCAGATGGCATGGTGACATCTATCAGGCAGAAGAGGGGCTTCCCTGGATGCCCATTGTTAAATGCCTCTAGGGCCTGCTCAACAATATCCTCATGTGTTGGTGGACGCTGGGCTTCACAGGCTACCAGAGCCAAGGCCACCACCAATACAAATGCCTTCCACAGCCTTGCCATTGTCTCTGACACCTTGCCACTCCTGACTCCTTTTATTTAGGTGGTACTTAGGCTGCCTTGCTCAAGGACAGCTGGCGACATAAATGTCTGATGGCTCCAGAAAGGGAGCCCCTTCTGTCCTTGGCTGGAGATCATTATTGGCCAATGTCATGAAACACTGTTGGCCAAGAGAGGCAAGGAGGTTTGGGCAACAGACCAGGACCTGGAAGTGAGTCCTAAGCTAGAAGCAAGAGCCTTGTTGTCAGCTGGGCATACCTGTTCACTCTGGGCCTCAGTGCCCCTGCTGGACCCTCCAGACCTGCCCCATTCACAGCTCTTCTCTCTCTGCCCGGCTCCCCTCTTTGATCCCAATAACAGCTGCCCAGAACCCATGACTCCACATGGAGTTCTTCATCCAGCTTCACAAGGAGACGATCGTTTTGAGGTTACACTCAGGGGAGACCCTAGTGTCACCCATTTTAAAAATACATCCCTGTCACACTCTGAACATCATCATTTCTTGGTCTTTAAAATTGTTTATGGACTGGGCATGTGGCAACACTCCTCTAATCCCAGTACTTGGGAGACAGAGCCAGGTAGATCTCTGTAAATTCAAGGCCAGTCTGGTCTCCAAAGTGAGTTTCAGGCCAGCCAGGACTACACAGTAGGACCCTGTCTTTAAGAATAAAATGAAGGTATGGTGTGGTAGTGCACAGCTTTAATCCCAGCATGTGGGAGGCAGATGCAGGAGGGTATTAGTGTTACAGCTCTGAGGGGAAAGGTGTCCTGGCAGTAGGGAGCCACGTCACACAAGAGATTGGGGAAGAGACAAGAAAATGGCTTCCTCTGTTTGGGAGAGAAGAGGAAGTAGTAGCAATGATCTGAGGAGGAGGCAGGCTTTGTATAGAGTTTGTTGTGTGGAGCAGAACTTTCCAGAGTGCCCTGGGAATGCTGGGATTCTGTGGCCCGGTCTTGGCTTTTTTTTTTTTTTTTTTTTTCCCTGTAAGGCAGAGTGTGGCTGCCTGCATCTGGAGGGGCTGGAAGTTTGGGGGAAGAGCCTGGCCACTGGGGCCTCAAAGGGCTTACAGAAGATCTCTGTGAGTTCAAGGCCAGCCTAGTCTACATTGTGAGAACCAGGAAGACTGGGACTACACAGTGAGATTGAAGTTGTAGATCGAAGTTTTCCTGTGTTCTGCCTGGTCCCACAGCCACTTATAAAATAATTACACACAGGCTTATATTAATTACTAGTTCTATGGCCTATTGGTTTAGGCTTCTCACTTGCTCGCTCTTACAACTTAATCCATTTCTATTAATCTATGCATTGCCACATGGCTTCGTGGCTTACCTTTATTTATCAACCAGTTAGAGCAACACATATTCACAGCATACAGAAAGACATCCCACAGCACCCTGTGTCAATAAATAAATCAGTAAAACAAAATAAAACATTTTATTTTGTGCGTTCTTTTAGTCCCAGAACTCGTGTTAAAGTTCAGGGCCAGCCTGGTCTACACAGTGAGTTCCAGGACAGCCAGGGCGACACAGAAATACCTTGTCTCAAACAAACAAACAAGAAAAACAAAAAAAAGAAAGGAAGGAAGAAAAGCAGATCAAGAAGAAGAATGGCACCTTATGTATTGTTTACTGGGGGTGGGGGCGATGGTTCAAGGTCAGCAGAAAACGAAATCAAAGTGTTGGCAAGAGAACACAGGCTACCTCAGACACAGCTGCCTCAGGCCTGATAACCACAGGGTTTCAAGGTGGAAAGTCGGTTTCCCAGGAACCAGATTTAAAACCTTGCCCTAGCCCAGCCCCAAACTGGACCTTTGCAAGTCTGCCCCTCAGCAGGAAATTCAACTAGAGTTCCCATTATTCTTTCATCCGTGCCTCTGAGGAAGTCTTGACTTGGCTAGGACTTTCTAGGAGGCAGCCATTGAGATGTTAGCACGTACTCAGCTAAATGTCTTGAATGTCTGAAGAGTACCCACCCTTGAATATTAGTGACCAGTAGAGAATGGATTCTGAGCTTTCAGTATGGACATAGACATAGAAGCACCTCATCCGAAGAACAGTGTTTGCCCTCTAGCTTCTTCTGCTAAGTAATGTGTCTTAGGGTGGCTCACGTTCATCTATTTAAGTGGCATCTGTAAGGTCTGAGAGGCTTCAAAAAGTGATATTCTTGTGGTGTGAGGTATTAAGGAAGGCTCCTAGGAGACCATCCATCGTGAGGTAGACTAGAGAGTAGGGAGTAGGCTTAAATGAAGAGAAGGGGAGTGGCCACCCGGCTTTGCTTGCAGGGCAGAGAGGACAGTGTAAACAGAGGAACTGGCCTGGCCTGCCTGGGTTAGTGAATTTAGAACTGGTAGGATGCAAGAGCAGCAGGAAGGAAGAGAAATAGACATTTTGCTGTGATTCAGAGTGGAAATAATAGTGAAAGCCAGGAAGCTTTACAGTAACCTAGGCTTACCTTACAGAACACTGGTCCCACGCTTGCCATGGTCTCCCACATCTGTAATCCCAGCACTTGGGAGGATCTTGAGTTCTTCTAGACCAGCCTGGGCTGCATAGACAGCCTTGTCTCAAAAACAAAAGACTGGCCGGGCAGCAGTGGTGCACGCCTTTAATCCCAGCACTCAGGAGGCAGAGCCAGGCGGATCTCTGTGAGTTTGAGGCCAGCCTGGTCTACAGAGTGAGATCCAGGACAGGCACCAAAACTACACAGAGAAACCTAGTTTCGAAAAAACCAAAAAACAAAACCAACAACAACAACAAACCCCGAAAAACTGGACCTGAGAGCATAACTGGAGAAGTGGGAAGAAATTATGGATTCCACACACAAGTAGGAGGAAAGATGGGTTGCTTGAGGGCCTGTTTCAGTATAGGCAGTAGGAAAACTGTGCGACTAAGGAGGCAGGAGTGTGGTGTGTGTAGCTGCCAGAGCATCTGCTCTTTGTTCCGTAGGTGTTTGAAGCTGCCTTGGCCTGGGTCAGATACGACCGGGAGCAGAGGGGACCGTGCCTGCCAGAGTTGCTGTCTCATATCCGCCTGCCTCTCTGCCGGCCCCAGTTCCTATCAGACCGAGTCCAGCAAGATGACCTGGTGCGTTGCTGTCACAAATGCAGGTAAGTGAGGGTGGCCTTGTCCAGGACACTGCCCAGTAGGCAAAGAAGGGGAGCTGGCCACCTGTCCTAGCTCAGGGGAGGAAGGATTTGAAGCAGTGAGTCTTGATTCATGGTGCATGAATTGCACGAGACTCACATAGTGGTGAGAGAGATGCCACATGGGAGCAGAGGGACTTTTCTTCCTTAAGTTATCTATGTGTTCTTCATCTACTGAGAGTCTATGAGTGTGCTCTTCCATGCTGCCTGGCTGGACCTTGCCCATACTGGCAACTGACTTGATAGTACAAATGGGACTTCCTGGGGCTCCTCGCCTTCTTCAATAAATAGTAGCTAGCGCCCTAGCCTCTGGTGAGTCATAGGAAAGAGGGGTCTTGTGTTCCAGTGTATGCAACTTCTACCCAGAGCCACCAGCACAGTTCAGAAGATGGGTTGTTATACAATTAAAACAAAGAAAAAGGCCTATCTTTAAAATTGCTTGTTATATTCATAGTGCAATGTTTGGTTTTGTTTTTTCCTTTACTGACAAGATGTTCTCATATTGAGTTCTGCATTATTTCACCCATAGTTGGGATCAGCAGGTTCAGGGGAAGTCAGTTCCATGGTACAGGCTTTGTGACAGTGTGTCAGGAAGTGGGGATGTGTGGCTGGAGGGAGCTAGGGCCCTGTGATGAGCAGTCTGAAGGGTAATTTTGAGGCATATGAACTATCCTGTCAGTAGTATGTAGCTATCAAAAGGGTTCTTAGAAAAAGCAATGTGGTCTGTGGTGTGGAGGGGCTGGAGAGGCAGGCTAGAGGCAGGGAAGTCCATCTGGAGCATTTGGCAACAGTTGCCACAGTGCAGGTGAGCGGTGATTGACTGGAGGATGTAAGCCATGGGATGGTCGCAGGGGTAGAAGGAAGAGCTAGGTTTGAGTGCTGATAGGAAGTCGGTTAGTAAGCTTCCCCCAGCACTTCCATTTTAACCCCCACACTGTTTTCAAAAATCACACCTCATTTGTCCTGTTAGAAGGAAGGCGGTTGCTATGGTTACTCCAGCTGTGCTGTTCTCTGATTTGTCCTGTTAGAAGGAAGGCGGTTGCTGTGGTTACTCCAGCTGTGGTGTTCTCTGATTTGTCCTGTTAGAAGGAAGGCGGTTGCTATGGTTACTCCAGCTGGGGTGTTCTCTGATTTGTCCAGTTGTTAGAAGGAAGGTGGTTGCTATGGTTACTCCAGCTGGGGTGTTCTCTGATTTGTCCAGTTGTTAGAAGGAAGGCAGTTGCTATGGTTACTCCAGCTGGGGTGTTCTCTGCTCTTTTTGTGCCTTCACTTTTGAACATGTCTCAGTAGCATTGCATGGCTTCCTCTGATCTTACCCAAACTCTTTGACACTAAACCTCACACAAGAGTTGGGGATATAGCTCAGAGGTATAGCATTCTGACATGTGTGTGGCTCTCGATTCAATGCCCAGCTCGGGAGAGAGACAGACAGGCACTGATAGATCAAATTTTCCAGAACATTTTCCCAGATGTCCCTACATTGAGGTATGGAGGAGCCAGACTCAGCAGTGTAAATGTGGACCAAGGTGGGGGGTACCTCCTCTCCTAGCTTCTTGCACCTTATTTCAGGGACCTGGTAGATGAAGCAAAGGACTATCACCTCATGCCGGAGCGCCGGCCCCACCTGCCAGCTTTCAGGACTCGGCCTCGATGCTGCACATCCATCGCTGGGCTCATCTACGCCGTGGGGGGCCTCAACTCAGCAGGTATCTTGCAGCTCCCCTTTGCAGAGCCCTTCCTAGGACTCCTTGGATGAACAAACTCAGTCAGGCTAGCCTGGTTTTTCTAATTCCTTCTCTTTATACTGCTCTGTCTCCTGTCCTTCTTATTTTAATATAGTTGCCCTAGAGTAGAGCTTATTATGTATTCATAATATTGAGTTGATGTCAGTGCTAAAAGTGCCTTAAAGGATTAGGTTTGACAATCCTAGGATGCTGACACATGCCTATAATTCCAGCACTTGGGGTCATGGAAATAAGAGGATTGTGAGTTTGAGACCACTCTGAGTTACACAGTAAGACTGTCTCAAGAAAGAAAGAAAAAAGCTGGGCAGTGTAGCACATGCTTACAATCTTAATATTTGACAATAAGAGGCAGGAGAATGACTACAAATAAGACCAGTCTACAAAGACTTCCAAGCCAACCAGAGCCACGTAGCTATACCCTGTCTCAGCAACAACAGAAAGGGGGTGGGGCTGGGCACGGTGGACATCCACCTGTAATCCCAGCACCTGGACGGATCCCAAGGCCCAGGGCAGCCTAGGCTACATAGTGGGATTCTGTCTCAAAGTCATGTAATTCACCATAGCTGAAATTTACAGATGAGCAAGTTGAGACTCAGAGAACCTGGACAGTGTAAACACTCTGCTTTGGTCAAAACAAGGACTGGGATTCCTCCTGGTGCTTAAACCAGCACTTATCAGTAGTATTTATTATCTGCAGCATGTACCCAGCTCTATAGAGAATACAATAAGGAATCTGCCCAGTTCTATCATCAGGCTATTCACATTTGCATGTGAATCTCTGGACCAGACTGAGATAATCCAGTACCCCAGGTCTTCTAATACCCCAGGTCTGTAATTCTTTATAATTTTCCACACTGCCTCCTGTGAAGCCCCTACATGTTTACATCCACCCATTATCAGCAGCTTGATTACACATCTATAATCCCAGTACTTCAGAGGCTGAGGCAGGAGGGTCTTGAGTTTGAAGCCAGCCTGGGTTATAGGTATTGAGACTCTGCCTCCAAAACAAAACAATACAAAACCACCATTACCAGTAGCTCTTGTATTATATACAGTCACATTTCTGGGAAAGCCTCTTGGAGGGTCAGTGGGAAGTTCCCAGTTTTGTTTTCAGTTAAGGTTTATGAAAGGTAGCTAGCAGCCTTCTGCTTGTTAACAGCATGACCTAGAAAAGGTAAAAGTCTTCAGTGACAAACGCAAGAGGGTAGCGAGTGCTCAGGCTCCAACGGGGAGGAGGGTAGTTTGAGTTGCTAATCATAGTCTGAGCAGAATGAGACGGTTCAAATTACCATTCCTGGCCTCTGTGACTACTGTTTACTGAGTTCTCAACGTATTCTAGAACCATGTTGGGTGCTGTATCCATTGTGCCATTTAATCCTCGTGGCAGCTCTGTTAGCCTTTAATTTCTCATTCGAAACAAGACAAGGCCACAGAGCAGCTCTTCTGGTCATTAGAATTAGTGGTGTTGGCATTGGGAGCCACGCCCTTCACTCTAGCATGTTTCCTGCATTGGGCAAGCAGTCTATGCGTTTCCCTTTATTGCCAACTTCAAGCAAGAGGCTTACCTGATTATAACTGAAAACTACTGAAGAGCAAATGCTTCCCATTTGATTCTAAAATCTTTATCCTAGCCAGAGTTTGTATTGGGCCCAGTTACCCTGAGTAATTCATGAGAAGAGCTAATAGAATCCAGTCAAATATCCATATAATCAATACCCAGTAGCTGTGATCTAAACAAGTGGTCTCATTTGTTTTAATTTGAGTAGCAAATTTTTATGCAGGTGATTCCCTGAATGTGGTGGAAGTGTTCGACCCCATCGCCAATCGCTGGGAAAAGTGCCATCCCATGACAACAGCCCGCAGCCGTGTGGGAGTGGCTGTGGTGAACGGGCTTCTCTATGCTATCGGGGGCTATGACGGTCAGCTGCGGCTGAGCACTGTGGAGGCCTACAATCCAGAGACGGACACATGGACCAGAGTGGGGAGCATGAATAGCAAGCGAAGGTATTCTGGAAGCCACGTGCAGGCTGAACACACACACTGAGCATCTGGGGAGCCCCATGTAGGGGCACATAATAAAGTAAAATGCAAGTTTTGGCCTGGGGAAATCCTGCTGCCAGGCCAGCCACACTGCCAGCACCTCCTGGGAGCAAGCCCCCATCTGCTTAAACATAAAATACCTGCCTTGTCCTTTGAGGAACTTGGGGAGCCAAGACATGGACATGTGGAAGTTGTATTGTTATGTAAGTGCCAGCTAAGGACTGGAAATGAGTGTTATGGAAGATTCCAGGAGGGCGAGAAACTGGACTGGACCATCTGGAAGATCTCAGGGAAGAGGTGGGATTGAAGTTGAAACCTGAAGGATAAGGAGATTTAACCTCATTAGTAATGGAAAGAAACCCAAAGCATTTTCTCTGTGCTTTCTTTCTATACTTACTCTCTCACTACCCGGGAAGTGTATGAATTAGGCAGTGTCACACAGGTTCTCCAGATGTGAGCACATATGTATTTGCAAGGTGGACTGAACTTGTACATCATCGAACTTGGTCTAGCTATTTGTGTCCTCCACCACTTGCCTGCTCACATTTCCAGAATGAGAAGTGTGGTTAGAGACCATCATGGTAGTGCCTATGTTTAACCTTCTTAGTCCAGAGATGACAGACAGCCCCATTGCTTACATCAGGCATGTGCCGAATTGGTAGGAGGCCCGTTGCCACAGGGTGTCACTGGACAGGTTTTTCCACGCCTGTGCCCTGTCGGGCTGGCAGATGAACGATTGCAGATGTCACTGTTCTGGTTCTCCTCATAGGGACCGAGAAGGAAAGGAGTCCAAGCCCAAGGCCCTTGCACATATAACCAGAACAGATTTGCCTGCAGTTTGAGCTTCTATGACATGGCCCAATTTTAGGAAGGAGAATTATGTACAGTTTTTAAAGAATAGTTGATCGTTAATGATTTTTCTGTATAATTCTGTGATCTGACTTTTGCCTCACAAATCCATTCTTCTTGCCATACTTCTGGGTCTCTACTTGGAAGATCACTTGACTGAGAAGGGGGAAAAGAGGCCAAGTGATGAGTGTGTGGTGAGGAAGTAGTTAGTGTAGAGGGCTTCGCTGCACAAAAGTGACACACGCCTTCCACATCCACATTAGTGTGAGGCCATGAGCCAGGAGGAATCTACTCTACCAGACTCCGAGACCAGAGTCACGGAGGAGGGTCCCCGCACACTCCTTCTGGAGGAAACAGTGTGCATGAGATGTGCCTCTTGCAGGGTGCTTTCAGAGTTCTCTTCTTCCCTCTCCACCTTGCTGTGTCCCCCACTGCCACCACCTCTTGGACATTTTGCAGCTTTTTGTGACTGAGGGACTCATTTCCCAGTATTCCCAACCACAAGCAGCTCTTTTTCTTGGGCTGTGGTCAGTGGGCTTTCCTTGTGTGTCTGTCTGCTCTGGGAGAATGTCTTGCTTTGGATGTCAGTGGGTTTGGTGTGTTATATGGGAGGAGAATCCTTTGGGTATTCCTGTCCTTCGCTGTGGTTAATGCTCTGGTATTAGCAACATGGGCCCTGTTCCATTTGTCCCTTTTAAATTACAGGTTACCTTAAAATATTCTTAGTCACTTCTCTCCTAACGTTCCATGTAGCTCTCCATCCTGCCAGTGAGTGACAGCTTCCTTTCTGCTCTCTTTCCGTCTTGTCTGGCTTGTGGGCCAGGAACCTTCTTCCAGGTTCTCCACCATCTTGCTCCAGCCCACACTAGTCAGCACTTTCCCTTCTGTCAGCTCTGTCTTTACTTCTTATTTGATTGTTGCCTATAGTTTGGGCGCACCTCTTGATTCATTCTCATGTCGTTACTCAACTCCTGACTTAACAACCTTGTGTTTGGGACTAAGGCTGTAGCTCAGTGGTAGGATGCTTGCCCTAGCAAGAGCAAGGCCCTAGGTTCAATCCCCAGTACTACCAAGGAAAAGGAAATCTAGTTACTTCGTGTATGTTTCATGTCCATGTCTAGAAAGGTATCGATACCTGTAGTGACCTTGCTTCAAACAAGGCTGTCTCCTCTTCAGGCAGGTCCAGAGGGTCTGTTACTGTAGTTTGATTTGCTGTATGTACTGGAAAAGTGGCAGTTGTCTGGTATATTTCTTTCCTGTTCAACCCCAGCTTCATTTTTAGTCTTCTATAGCATCAGATGTGAAAACACTGAGTCAGGCGGCTTGGCATTCCTGCTTAATTTCTCATAAGGCTTTAATGGGATGGAGGTTATATGATTATCTAGACCCCTGGATAGTGGGGATTTTAGGAAAGCTTATGTGTAGAACAGGAGACTCTGGGTTCGTGTCGTTCAGTTCTCAGGCTGCCTCCAACTTGAGCTCTCCTGCCTCAGCCTCCTCGGTACTGGAACTGCACCACCATGCCCATCCTGTTCTCTCCTCATAACCTAGTATCTAGGACAGCATACCTTGCACATGGCTGATGAAAATCTGGGAAATGAATGAATAGGACATGTGTCCTAATAAAGAAGCCGCTCCTGGGGCATGGAGTTAGAGGACAGTAATTCTGAGGCATGTGGGACCTTTCTTGAGTGTGACAAGACCCTAAAATTGAATTAGGCTGAGGCCCTGAGTTTGCTCAGCATGTAAAAATGTTTCTTGTGCAGTCCTGACAATTTGAGTTCAGTCCTAAGAACCCACAATGGCAGGAGAATGCCAACTCCCAAATGTTGTCCTCTGGCCTCCACATGCATGCCATGGTATGCATGTGTGCCAGCACACAAGCGTGTACACACACACACACACACACACACACACACACACACAAATAAAGATAATACAATTTTAAATTTTCTATTATTTATTTTTACATGTGTGAGTGTTTTACCTGCATGTATGCCTGTGCACCACATGCCTACCTGGTCCTCATGGAGGCCAGAAAAGATTATCAAATTCCCTGGAACTAGAGTTCTAAATGGTTGTGAGTGCTGGGAATTGAACCCAGTCCTCTGGAAGAGCAACCAGTGCTCTTAAATCTGAGCCATCTCTCCAGGATTAGGAGTTCAAAGTCATCCTCTGTCACATAAACAAAAAAGTAAATTAACCCCCTTCACTGAGATTAGAGTTGAGGGTTTCGGGCAGATCAAGGACTAAATCCTGCAGTGGAGGTAACCTGTCGCTGGGCCTGAGACTGGCAGGGAGCAGTGCAGATGAACCGCTGAAGAGCTTCCTGATTTTCTGCCCTTAGCTGGTTGTGTGCCTGGGACTGGGTCTATTCTAGAAAGAGGCAGTTGACAGGTTAACTTCTCAGTGTGTATGACCGACTGCTGGGATGACCATTCTGTCTGTTTCAGTGCCATGGGGACAGTCGTGCTGGATGGACAGATCTACGTCTGTGGAGGCTATGATGGCAACTCTTCCCTCAACTCTGTGGAGACCTACTCACCTGAGACAGACAAGTAAGGGCGACTGTTTCACAGCATGAAAATTAGAGCTGCAAGCCAGGGACAGTGGTGGTGCACACCCTGATCCCAGCACTCGGGAGGCAGAGGCAGGCGGATCTCTGTGAGTTCAAGGCCAGCCTGGTCTACAGAGGGAGTTCCAGGACAGCCAGGGCTGCTTCACAGAGAACCCCTGTCTTGAAAAAAAACAAAGAAAAAATTAGAGCTGCAGTGTGTTCTTGACGCTGAGTTTGTTTTGGTTTTTCTGAAATGGAATCTCATAATGTAGTCTAAGTTGGCCTCAAACGCTCCACAATCCTCCTGCCTTAGCCTCTTGAGTGCTGGGATTGTAGACATAAACCGCTATACTCAGCTAAACTGTTCCCCACTACCTGACCTTATGCATGCTAGACTCCCAGCTCCCAGCTTTTATTTAGTTTTGCTTTGGTTTGTTGGAAAAGAGGTCTTAAACTCAAGGACTCTAATATGTCACCTCAGCCATAGAGACGTGCTGTGACCCAGCTTACAGCTTCTTCTGGGTAGGAGGTGACTTAACAATACTTTGCATGTAATAGATTTTAAAATCTTTGGTTAAAGGCCAGTCATGGTGGTGCATACCTTTAATCCTTTCACTTAGAAGCAGAGGCAAGACCATCTCTGTGAGTTCAAAACCAGCCTGGTCTATATAGTTTATTCTAGGCCAGCCAGGGCTACAAAGTGAGACCTTGTCTCAAAACAAAACAAAAAAATTAAAAAAATAGTTATTAAAAGTCCTTGGTTAGCCGGGCGGTGGTGGCGCACGCCTTTAATCCCAGCACTCGGGAGGCAGAGGCAGGCGGATCTCTGTGAGTTCAAGGCCTGCCTGGACTACCAAGTGAGTTCCAGGAAAGGCGCAAAGCTACACAGAGAAACCCTGTCTCAGAAAAAAAAAAAAAAAGTCCTTGGTTAAATGAATCTTTTGGTTAAGTTTCAAAAGAACTAAAGCCAGGCGTGGTGGTTCATGCCTGTAATTCCAGCACTTGAAGTAGAGGTAGGAGGCTCAGGAGTTCAAGACTATATGAACCCATTTTAAACAAGAGGCACGGATACTTAGGAACATTTATTTATTGGTCTGTGTCTCCTCACTAAATCAGTCCATTGTAATGTAAGTACAAGCACAGTGTGTAAGAAGTAGATAGACAGCATATTCCAAGGCAGTGAGGCCTAATTTGAAAGAAATCAAATGTATGGTCAGAAAGCTTGGGGAGTGTTGACGTCTCTCCTTCAGAGTGCTTGTCTTTCCATCATAGATGACATTGCAAAAATTCTAGAAAAGCTGGTACTGTTTAAACTTAGGTCTCTGTAACACCCATTACAATCTTGTAGGATGCTTTTGTGGAACACTGGAAAACACTGGCAATGCTAGGCTGAACTACTCATTCTAGTGTGTGAATCATCCCGTCTTAGACAGCAGGATGTGAACAGAAGCTGATATTCTGTTACCTAACCAACTGACTGGTTATTCCAAGGTAGAAGGAGGCTGGTCCTCCCTAGTGCTCAATTTGGCAGGCTATGAGTGCATTGTGCTCACCTTGCCCTGGAGGCCTGTGTCTGGATCTCTTGGCACAGAGTAGGGAGCACTTATCTCCATGGGGCAGGGGTGCGAGATGAGACTCTTCAAGGACAGAAAGTGAGACTGGGGGATGGCTTAGTTTATAAAGTATTTACCTTGTAAGCATGAGTTCAATCTCCAGAACCCACGTAAAAATGCCAGGCATGGTGGCTCACACTTAGAACCCTAGCTGAGAAGGTGGAGACAGGAGGATTCCTCAAGGCTTGCTGGCCAGTCAATCTAACCTAATAGATGAGCTCTGGGCAATGAGATACCCTATCTCAAAAAAAAAAAAGGGGGGGGGGAGGTAGATGTAGTCCTGGAGATAATACCCAAGATTCCTCTGCTTCCACATGTACATTCGCACATGCATGTGCACCCATACACATAAGCACATAAACACAAGGTTAAACAGTGGTAAATGCTTATCCTAGACAAGGAGACAGCAGGCAGGGAGGGTTCAAGTAAGAAATTCCTCACTGTACACTGTGGGTAAAGCTAGAAGACACATAAAATCCTCATGATAAAGAAGCACACCAAGAGCCAGGGATGGTAGTTCACCCTGAAATCTCAGCACTTGAGAGCTAAGACAGGAGGATTGCCTCCAGTTCAAAGCCAGCCTGAGCTACAGAGTGAGACCTGTCTCAAAAAACAAATCACATCGAGGTGCTTGTATACTGCCTTAGGAAAGGCAGTGAGGAGCCACTTGAGGGACATGGTACAGCTGCTGCAAGAGCAATTCAGTTCCCCTGGCTGTGTGGGTTTGGGGTAAAGACAGCCTGAAAGCAAGGCCACATATAAGGAGGCCCACACAGTGGTCCAGGTGGGAAGCCAGAGCTAGGCAAGTGGTATTGGGAGCCAGAACAAGTAACGATTAGGAAGTAAACCAAGTACTTGTGGACCACAAGAATACCAAGAGAGGTGTGTCGCACACCTTTAATCCCAGCACTCAGGAGGCAGAGGCAGGTAGATGTCTGTGTGTTCAAGGCCAGCCTGGTCTAAATAGAAAGTCCCAGACTAGCAGTGGTGACATAGTGAGACTCTGCCAACAAATAAATAAATAAATACATGCATGCATCCATACATACATACCCGGTGGTGATGGCACACACCTTAAATCCTAGCACTCAGGAGGCAGAGGCAGGCAGCTCTCTGAGTTAAAGACCAGCTTGTTCTACAGAGTGAGTTCTAGGACAGCCAGGACTACACAAAGACACCCAGTCTCAATAAATAAACTAAACAAACAAATAGATCATCTTTGGAGCTGGAGAGATGGCTCAGTGGTTAAGAGCACTGAATGCTCTTCCAGAGGACCTGGGTTCAATTCCCAGCACCCACATGGCAGCTCACACCTGTCTGTAACTCCAGTTCCAGGGGTTCTGACATTTTCACACATGCAGGCAAAACATGTAAATTAATTTAAAAAAAAAAAAAAAGACCGCTGGGAGAGGGAGAAGTCAATGAGCACTTAGGTTTTATAAGTAGAATAACTAGGTAGCTGATGTCTCATTAACAAGGCCAAGGAATGCAGAACAGTTGCAGATATGTCTGTGTGACAGGCCTTGTTTGAAATGTGCTGATTTTGCTACCCATAGTGACTGGCTATGGATCTGAAGCTTGGGTGAGAGGCAGCAGCAGCCAGTACCCTGCAGAGGTGGCGGGAGAGGTGATAAGATGCTAAGAAATTGTCAGGACGTGATAGGCTTAGAAGAGGTCTCCTGGGCCTGGCCAGGCTGTGTCAGAAGGTCATGGACACTGACTCACGCCCCTGCTGTTTTTACTTCTTCTGCAGGTGGACTGTGGTGACTCCAATGAGTTCAAACCGCAGTGCGGCTGGGGTTACAATCTTCGAGGGCAGGATATATGTGTCCGGTGGCCACGACGGTTTGCAGATCTTCAACAGTGTGAGTCTGGCCCCTCTGCGGGGACTTCTTCCATTCTTGGATTTTTTTTCCCCCCAAATTTGTCACTGGGCTGGGGGCATAGCCCAGTTATGTATTGCTTGTCCAGCATACACAAGACCCTGGGCTCAATTCCCAACACCACACAAACAAAAAAAGTTTCAACCCTGCCTTTGCTACTGAAGTTCCAGGGTGTCTCCTGCATCATCTAAAATTCACTTCTAGAGAGCCCATGTACACAAGGAAGTGTTGAGTGTAGTCGTTCTGAACTTGCCCCATTTGGGTGTCTATGGAATGCTGAAAAGCCTTTTGAAACTCCTCCCAAAGTAAGCCCAGTCATATGCCAGACATGAATACCAGCAACTGTGTTTTGGACACTCTGCCAGAAACTACATTTATTCTTTTAAAAGGCTCTCAGCCATGCAGTTGTGGTTCCAGAGTTAGGCAGTACTGAGATAGAAAACACTTGGGACAGTCACATGAGACAGTACTCTCCTTCCAGCTCTGCCGTCACCTAGAAGCCCTTCCTTTGGAAAATCCTTCCTTCGTTTCCTTGCGTACATCCAGAAGGCATCAGCTTAGTATAAGGTTTAAGTAGGCAGGTACACAGCTGTGAAGAGGCAGCATCAGAGCTCGGGCACGTGCTAACCGAGCTCCCTCTCCCTCATCTCTCCCAGTCTGGCACCATGTGGGCTTCTGAGACCTGCAGGATCACCCCATGGACCAGGCCTTGTCTCTGACCATCTTGTCCCTGCACCTCTCTCCCTGCTGCAGGTGGAACACTACAACCACCACACGGCCACCTGGCACCCAGCGGCCAGCATGCTCAACAAGCGCTGCCGACATGGTGCTGCCTCCCTGGGAAGCAAGATGTTTGTTTGTGGGGGCTATGATGGCTCTGGTTTCCTCAGTATTGCTGAGATGTATAGCTCTGTGGCAGACCAGTGGTGCCTCATAGTACCCATGCACACACGCCGGAGTCGGGTCTCCCTTGTGGCCAGCTGTGGGCGCCTCTATGCAGTGGGTGGTTACGATGGACAGTCAAACCTAAGCTCGGTGGAGATGTATGACCCAGAAACGGACCGCTGGACATTTATGGCCCCCATGGCATGCCATGAGGGAGGGGTTGGTGTGGGCTGCATCCCTCTTCTCACCATCTAGGGAGAGGGTGGGATGTGGTGGGTTAGGGATCTGGTACAAGCATAGGCGCTTCCTTTCAGAGGGAAGTCCTCTCAGAAGAGGCAGTGGTGGAGCAGAAGACGGGGTGAAGTGTGAGCCTGCCAGAGGGACAGTGTTTCCAGGTGCTCAAGTCCTCCCTCACTGTGCTGCCCTTGAGACCTTAGGTTATCAAGACGCACAGCACAGGACAGAAGCCTCTCTGGTCCCACAGCCAGTAACACGGAAGTGGTTTGCTGGCCCGTGTGTACACAGGCTCCATCCAAGCCCAGCTGCACCTGCTGCAGTGCTGGCCCAGCTCCCACTTGCCACAGTGCTGAGTGCCCCTGCGCAGGAGGCCTTCCAGCCGACGCTCCTCCTTACCTGCTTGTGTGCAGCCATGTTGTGGCCAGTTTGCCATGGGAAGCGGCAGTGTCCTGCCTATTGGAAACTGTGGGGTAAAGCTGGGAGAGAAAGGACGCCCTGGTGTCCTGACTGCCTGTGATGGAGCAGCTACAACAGCGTGCTGCGTGCACACGGGCTCTTCCTTCCATCATGGGGCAGTTAGAACAGCGTGCTTGCTACGTGCACACAGGCTCTTCCTGATGGGTGCAGACAATCTCATCCCTGTCTGCAGCAAGCAGGAAGGCAGAAGTCTTCCCCATGCCTGATGTTTTGGGAATTTAGTGAGGTCTTTCTCTGCTTGTCCCAGAGAACCAGAAGGGGACTAGAGATGCTTGAAAGAAACTGGAGGAAATGGAAACAAGAAAATGCTTGAGAGAAACTGGAAGGAACAGACTTCTTTAAGAGAACATTTTCACAGGAAGAAAGCAAAAGATACTAAAAGCAAATGCACATTTAAATGGAAAACCATCAAACATGACAACAGTGTATCCACTCCCACATTCGGATCCCAGGGTCCCGAGCCCTCCTAAAGCAGTTGGGGTTCCCTCTGAGCCTCAGTGTGTCTGAAATCAGGGCATTCTTGACTGGACCTGTAGCACGGTGCTCATGGGGTTAGTCTCCTCAGCTACCATCAGAGGACTTTTTAAATCATAGGCGTAGGGAGCTGGCTGAAGTACTGCCACTCATCTCTACAGGAGCTCTCAGCATCGCTGGGACTCAGATGTCCCCGTGATTACCTCCTTCTGCCACCCAGCGCTCCTTCAGATCCCTTCTCCCACATACATTCCTTCCCTCTTTGGCCAGCAGGAAACAGCATGTCTGGCCAGGTTCGCACTTATCCATCTACCATCCTTGAGTAACTTCTCACCATGATGCTTCTGGGGCACATTGGCCATTTGTACCTCTAGGACCTAACCAGGGGCTTGCTCCTACCAGCCGTGGACTAGCTTGGTCAGGTGACCTGTTTGCCCTGCCATTCCCCTGCTTTTCCATCCGCTCGCCAACCCCGAGGGTCCACCTTCCCTCCAGCCCTTGGCAGACTGACCAGCAAGGTGGGCCTTTACATCAAGCAACGCTGGCTTCGTGATATAAAGACCTAAAGACTAAAGTCTTTCGCTGCTGCAAAGAAGAGATTTTATATTTCTTCCTTTAATCTTGGCAAATGACCTCGTGAAGAGACTCCATGCTCCTTCCTCCTCTGGATGGGACCTTATCGTAGCACAGAAGGACCCAGAGAGGAGATTTTTCTATCACCAGTGCACTGGGCAGTGGGGTGACCTTCACCTGCTGCTGCCAAAATCTGTTTTTCTAAAATTCTTCCAGTAGAGACTAGAAGGTTACAATTACTTTAGCCCCAAACTGGGTCTAAGGGTCCCACTCTCCACCTGATTGGTTTCTTGCCCATTGCTGCCTGCCTGGAGCAGCCTAGAAGCCGGTCCAGAAAAGCCCAGTGTGAAGCCTGGGGGTATCCCTTACTCCAGACGGTCAGGTTGACCAGTGTGTGCAATGGCCATGGATTCAGGAGGAAGGACTTTCGTTCCCTGCCACTTAAGAGCTGGGCCTCTGCTATAAGCACTTGAAAATAATATTTTTATTTTAAAAGACTGAACAATCTGATAACTGAAAGATACATTTTAACTAGGCTCCCAGTGGAATGCCAGCATTTCTTCCTGCCCCTCAGTTTGCCTGCTGAAATAGACTCTTGGGAGGCCAGGGGTCTCGGTTTTCTGTTAGTCCTGTCAGGAAGGGTGTATCCGTGCTCATCTTATTAAGTCCTTTCTTCTGTGAATGTACTGCCCGGCCTCAACTGTGAAGGTGCTGAGAACCAGTCGGTGAGCTCCCAGGTAGATCTCCTGGATCCTTACAATGCCAGCAGACTGTATCACTGGAGATGATACATCCTCATCCCTGTCTGCTGCTGTTGGATTAGCTTTCCTGAGTCTCCTAGTGTAGAGCTTTCACTGTGCACACAGAGACAGTGTTTCCACGAAAGATCAAGTCAGTGTTTGAATCTGGGCTCTGAGCACACTTGGGCAAACAGGAACCTTTTCCTACTCCCCGGTCTGAGGGCAGGTGGCTGGTCTGACTCTTTAGTGTTGGAACAGTGGGATCATGGGAAAACAGACATCACCAAAGGACATTGTGGAAAGAATGTAACAAGGAGATGAGATAGTTCAGACACGCCTGGTGGACCATGGGGTCTGGCCACTGTCCTTTCTTGTTTCCCATTCTTGGTTCTTCTCTTCTGGCTTTCACCAGAGACCACAAGCAGAAGAGAACTGAAGACCAGCCTCTTGATGGAACATAAAGATGGAAATAAGTAGAAATGTTGTCCCTCTTCACCCACAGTTGTTTCACAGGAAACTTTTTATTTATAGAACGCATGTCTTTTGTGTTAAGAAACCAAAGAGAAATAAAGAGAACACTCTTAATACTCTTGCCTTTCCCTGATTGTGTGTGTGTGTGTGTGTGTGTGTGTGTGTGTGTCCATTGCTGTGTGGGTGTAAATGTGTGTCCATTCCCGTGTGGGTGTGGGTGTAGGTGTGTCCATTCCTTTGTATGTGTGTGGAGACCAGGAGTTAACATTGTGTAGGTGGATCTGTCTTTACTGAGCATCTATATTGTTCTCTGATCATGAGACGAATCTTAGACTGCTGTGTCAGCTGCTGGTACTGCTCAGCTTAGTGTTTGGCAGTAGCGCGTGGTGGTTAGCAGCTTGCTCCACCCTGTAGGCAGCTGCCAGGAGATGCACCTCTGTACTGTGGCTGGCATGAGAAACATGAGACTAGGAAGCTGCATTTGGCTTCATTTTTGTGTGTTTAGAACCTTTTTTTAAAAAAATTATTTATTAAATTTTTATTTTATGTGCATTGGTGTTTTGCCTGCATGTATGTCTATGTGAGGGTGTCAGATCCCCAGAAACTGGAGTTACAGACAGTTGTGAGCTGCCATGTGGGTGCTGGGAATTGAACCCGGGACCTCTGGAAGAGCAATCAGTACTCCTAACACTGAGCTATCTCTCCAGCACCCTAGAACCTTTTTAAAGCTTGCTCAGATCTTATATGGGTGTAGGTGCCCATGTTGGAATGCCATTTGTAGGTGGGCTCTTCTGTCTAGATTGCTGATGCCAGCCTCTCCCCAAATAACCACACAGAGACTTAATTATAAATGCTTGGCCGATAGCTTAGGCTTGTTTTTAGCTAGCTCTTATAACTTAAATTAACCCAATTTTAATAATCTGTGTGCTACCCCAAGGCTCGTTTACCTCATGTACATACTTCCCATCCTGCTTGCTCTGTGTTTCGTGGCATCTCCTCTGACTCCACCCTTCTTCTCCCCAGCATTCTCTCTGCCATGAAAATCATGCCTCACCTTCAGCCAATCAGCTTTTTATTAACAATGAGAGCAACATGTCTTCACAGTGTACAGAAGGATTATCCCACAGCAACATTGGTGTCTTTCTTGATTGATTTCCACCTTAGATTTTGAGGCAGGGTCTCTTACTGAGCTTGAAGCTCACCAGTTTGACTTGCCTGGCTGGCCAGCAGGTCCTAGGGATTTGCCAAACTCTGGGATTGCGGGTTGTGCACTGCCACATCCAGTTTTGTTTCTTTTCTTGTTTGTTTGTTTTTTGTTTGTTTGTTTTCCAGACAGGGTTTCTCTGTGTAGCTTGGGATCCTTTCCTGGAGCTCACTCTGTAGACCAGACTGGGCTTGAACACACAGAGATCTACCTGGCTCTGCCTCCCAAGTGCTGGGATTAAAGGCGTGTGCCACAGCTGCCCGGCCAGTTTTGTTTCTTTTTAACCTGGGTGCTGGGGGACCAAATTCAGGTCCTCAAGTTTGTGCAGCAAGCACTTAGCCAATTGAGTCAGCCCTTTCCTGACTTATTTAAATATTAGAAGTACATTTTTATTTGGTTTGGTTTAAAAGAAAAGTATATTGGAAAAATTACAAATATTTCCATGAATATAAAAAGCCAAATAAACCTATAGCAAAAGCAATCTATGAAAGATGGGGTTTGAATGCGATGTCCCCTGTAAGTGTCAGACATTTGAATCCTTGGTTCCCCAGTGGTGGCTGTTTGGAGAGGATTAGGAGGTGTAGCATTGCCCGAGGAAGTACATCATTGTGGGCAGGCTTTGAGGCTTCAGAATTTTTGCATTTGATCTCTGCTTCTTGCTTTTGGATCAGATCAAGATGTGAGCTCTCGGCCTGGCGGTGGTGGCGCACACCTTTGATCCCAGCACATGGGAGGCAGAGGCAGGCGAGATCTCTGTGAGTTCGAGGCCAGCCTGGTCTACAAAGCAAGGTCCAGGCTCCAAAGCTACACAGAGAAACCCTGTTTGAAAAAAAAAAAAGAAAGAGAGAGAGAGAGAGAGAGAGAGAGAGAGAGAGAGAGAAAGAAAAAGAAAGAAAGAAAGAAAGAAAGAAAGAAAGAAAGAAAGAAAGAAAGAAAGAAAGAAAGAAAGAAAGAAAGAAAGAAAGAAAGAAGAAAAAAAAGGAAAGAAAGAAGGGCTGGAGAGATGGCTCAGCAGTTAAGAGCACTGGCTGTTCTTCTAGAGGACCCAAGTTCAATTCCCAGCACCCACATGGCAGCTCACAACTGTCTGAAACTCCAGTTCCAGGGGATCTGATACCTTCACACCAGTGCACATATAATGAATTTAAATAAATTATAAAAGGAAGGAGGAAGAAAAAGAAAAAGCTAGAAAGTTGGTTCAGCAGTTTGGTTCCAAGCAACCACATTAGGCAGCTCAAAACTGCCTTTAACTCCAGCTCCAGAGGACCCAGCACCCTCTTCTGGCCTCCAAGGGCATCACACACATGTAGCATACACTATCACCAACACACACACACAACAGAACATTGGGTTGAGGAGATGGCTGAACAATTAAATTAGAGTTTGACAGAAACCAGTTTTCTTGAGGCTCATTTGTCATCAAAACCAAATTAATACTTCAAAAAAATGAAAAGAGGATAGTAGAGAACATGATACAAAGATGTGCTGTGGGAAGGAAATAATGAGACAGACAGTTTAAACAGGCATTGGGTATGTGTTAGGAGACGGTAGGGATGGGTTAACCAATATGAAAAATGTATGGAAAACCCCTATGGAAACTCACTACTTTGTAAGCCAATCTAAAGTTAGAATTTTTTTAAAAAATTGAAGTAATTTGAACACAGATGGCCTTGAATGGATGGATAATGATCTCCATGAAAGACATGGGTTATTAAATGAAAATCTGAGTACCAACTCTGTACAAGTTACTCATCAGGGAGGCCCCAGAGGCCCCCATTGCTGTAGACACAGTACACTTTGGTTGCAGGACATAGAGAAATAAAGTTGGATCTGACCTTAAAACTTCCTCCCCTAGTGCCGGAAGGTGCTGTGCAGAACACTGAGGGAGAAAAACCCATCAATAGCATCCTTGCATCCAACCCTGCATGCTGCAGTACTGACCCACCAGGCAAGATCTGCCCTCTAGTGCATTAGTAGCATAAAGGGAATGGGTGTAACCAGATGCTTTTGAATTGGGTTTGAGGCCTGATCCACAGGAATTTGGGCCTGGTATATAAACCTGGTCAAAAGCCTGTGGCTCAGTAGTTCACAGGCCCTGCTGAGGAACTTTCTACTGTTGTTTTCCTAAAAGATGTTTTGTCAAACTGCCTTCTAAATATTTTTGCTTATAGTCATAGATCAGTGCTGCTGTCAGCCTTGGCCAAAGGGTCTTCTCTGCAATGGTCGGCAGTTAATATAGATATTTATAGTTGGTCAAAGTGCTGAGAATAAGTGTCTATTGAGTGCTCAGCCCTAAATGGATAATCTATATCACACACCCCACCCAAGTCTTAGTGAATGCTTGGCCCATAGAGAGTGGCACTATTAGGAGGTGTGGCCTTGTTGGAGTAGGTGTGGGCTTGTTGGAGGAAGTGTGTCACTGTGGAGATGGACTTTGAAGTCTCATATATGCTCAAGCCATGCCCAGTGAGACAGTTCACTTCCTGTTGCCTGCAGATCAAGATGTAGAACTCTCAGCTCCCTCACCAGCACTTATGTCTACCTGCGTGCTGCCTTGCTTCCTGCCATGATGATAATGAACAATACCTCTGAAACTGTAAGCAAGTCAGCCCTAATTAAATGTTTTCCTTTATAAGAGTTGCCATGGTTATGGTGTATCTTCACAGCAATAGAAACTCTAAATAAGACAGAAGTTGGTACCAGGGTCTATGGTATTGCTGTGATAGGCTGGGCCGTGTTTTTATTTGGAGGAAATCAGACTTTGATATTTTGAGTTAGGAAAGCAGTGGAATGCTTCAAGTGCTGCTTAATGGGCCATACTAGTAGGAGCATGGAAGACAGTGGTGCTGAGGGGGATTTGAACTGTGGGAGCCCAGCTAAAAGGTTTTAGGAGAAGAATTTTAATATATGGCCTACAGACTGTTCTTGTGATATTTTGGTGAAGAATGTGGCTGCTTTTTGCCCTTGTCTGAAAAGTCTGCCTGAGACTAACATGCAGAGTTTTGGATTAATTCCATTGGCAGAGGAAATTCAAAACAGCCTAGTATTGACTCTGTTGTATGGTTATTATCATTCACTCTTATGAAGATCTATAATGAAAAGGAGCAAGCTGAGCAAGGAAAAGTACTAAATGTACAATTTTAAGAGAAAGGGCACCAGGAAGTAGAATGGAGCTAAATCCTGTGTTCAAAGAAATAAACAGATTAAAAGAAAGCCTGATGTTAAATGGAATAAAGGGAGTGGAGACCTCAAGGCAAGATCCCACACAGCTAAGCTTCCAGCTTGTGAAAAGGAATTAAAAGAACAGCTTAGGTCCAGGCATGGTGCACATGCCTTTATTCCCAGCACTCGGAAGGCAGAGGCTGGCAGATCTCTCACTTTGAGGCCAGCCTGGTCTACAGATCCAGTTCCAGGACAGCTTAGCTTAGGCAGTAAAGGAAACCATGGGAAACAGAAAAGTAGTGAAGCTGTAATTGAACAAGGGGGTCATGTTCCAGCCCATAAAACAGCAGAACTTGACAGCTTCAGCCACATGGTTCTGCCTTTAGAGTCAAGGATAGAAGAAAGGGGTTGTGGAATCTCCCTCTGTGACTAAGGAAAGCTGCTGAGACCAGATGTGTGGCAGGGGTATCCCTGCATGGAGGCCTAGAGAGGTCATTTTGTGAAGCTGTGAAGGTGAATCCTGGATTGCCTTGGAGACCCCAAGATGTTAGAGATGCCAGAGCCATGGGATACCTGCCAAGGCAAGTTGCTAACAGGGAGTGGAACCAACCCAAGAGAAAGAAATGTGTTGCAGTCAACAAAGCTGAAAGGAGTTAGAGATCTGAAGAGGAGTTTAACTCCAGGCATGGAGATGCAGAGTTTGGAGTTTGTCCAGCTGGTTTTCGGTATTGCTTTGGTCCAATATTTCCTCACTATCCTCCCTTTCCTCCATTTTGGGATGGTAATGTATATACTGTACCATTATATGTGGGAAGTATGTGATCTGGGTGTTTTGATTTAGTTTGTTTTTTGAGACAGGGTTTCTTTGTGTAGCCTTGGCTGTCCTGGAACTAGCTCTATAAACCAGGCTGGCCTCTGCCTCCTGAGTACTGGAATTAAAGGTGTGTACCACCACCACCAAGCTGTGATCTGTTTATTTTGATTTTAGTATCATAGGGAATTACAGTTAAGAGATTGCATGAATCTCAGAAGAGACTTTGAACGTTGGACTTTTAAACATTGTTGAGACTGTGACAGACTATGGGGATTTTCAAAGTTGGACTGGATGCATTTTATATTATGGCTACAAACCTACGGGAGCCAAGGAGTGGAGTGTGGCGGTTTGAATAGGTATGGCCTCCATAGACTCATGTATGTGAATGCTTGACCCATAGGAGTGACACTGTTAGGAGCTGTGGCCTTGTTGGATGAAGTGTGCTGCTGTGGTGGGCTTTAAGGTCTCATATATGCCCAAACCACATCCAGTGAGACAGTTCACTTCCTGTTGCCTGTGGATCAAGATGTAAGACTCTCAGCTATCTCTCCAGCACCATGTCTGCCTGCATGCTGTCTTGACTATAATAGACTAAACCTCTGAAACTGTAAGCAAGCCCCAGTTAAATGTTTCCCCGTATATAAGAGTTGCCATGGTCATGGTGTCTCTTCACAGCAATAGAAACCGTAACTAAGACAGGGAACATCACTGAAGAACAGTGGAATGAATGTAAGAGCTGCAGGATGGGACTGAATGATGTGAAATTCTGTCTTTACATGACATGGCCACTTCACCCATGAACTCACTGCAGCTATGATTACCTGTACAAGGTGAAGTCTACAAGATCAGCCAGGCAGTGGTGGCGCACGCCTTTAATCCCAGCACTTGGGAGGCAGAGGCAGGTGAACCTCTGAGTTGAGTTCCAGGCCAGCCTTGTCTACAAAGCAAGTTCCAGGACAAAAAAAAAGTCTACAAGATCATCAACATTCCACCAGGCAGCACTAACTGGACTCTGAATTATTGACACATGAAAAAAGAGAAGACATGAAGTGGGGATGGGAACGTGTTAAGGGTGCTAGGAGAGATACCAGACAGTCACCACCAGCACACTAGATGCTGCCCAACCTGCCTGTGGTCTCCCCCTCAAGGAGAGAGTGAGGCCACAGAGGCATCAGCTACAAGGGCATGATGGGACATGGAAGCCTAACCTCCATCCACCAGAACCCAGAGGGCCTGGGCAGATCTGGATGAGGAGCAGGTGGGCTCCCACTGGCCACCAGAGAATTGGTGTTACAGGGCACCAGAGTCCCCTCTAGAACTCTTCTAGGCCCTTCCTCTCCAAAGAGTGGGAAGGTCTAAGCAATACGGACACAGCACATGCCACACCTTTCCAGACACTTGCTGCAAAGGGCTTGGTTCTGTTTGCAGATGAAGACCCTGTGTATGCAGCACATACACAGTCTGTGTCTCCCAGAGCCCAAGAGAGCCCAGCAAGGGGGATGGACGACCTCAGGATTGGACCTCCGCAGTGAGAAACCTGGAGGAGACGTGGGGCAGCAAGCTGCTCACCTCTCTACTGCAATCCCTGTCGCAGCTCAAGGTCAAGGAGGTTGAGAGCCGCCTTCTGATGAATTGACCTGTGCAGTTTCGATCCTCCTGTGAGGGGTAGGGGAAAGGGGGGGGGGGACAGGACAGGAGCTAGAGGCATCTTGTCACATTTCTGGAGAGAGGCAGGCACTGTCCTCAAACCAGAGATGCAAGCCAGAGCCAGCAAAGAGAGACAGTGGATGGGAAGGACAGATTCACACCCATGAATGTAAACGACAGGACCTCCATATACATTATTAGAGGAGAAGGCACCTGTAAATTATCACGCCCAGAGAAAACCATGTTTGTTGAAGGTCCTGGGTGAAGGTACATCGACAGCTGAGCCTGTCCCTGGGAAATGAGGTTGTGAGTCAGTAAATGTAACCATTGCTTTCAGTGTGAATGGTAAAAGAACATTTGAAGTACGTTACTTTCTGGTTCAGTTTTAAAAAAGCAGCCTCTCTAGTGGATTATAGACACACTTGGCCATTCTGCTCTTTTTATATTTAGTAGGTTTTAGCAGGCAGTGCCTCCTCCCACACCCACTTTGTGTGGCACTGGGAATCAAACCCAGGGCCTTGAACATGCTAAGCAAGACTACCACGGAGCTACATATTGCTGTTTTAGAAAGTAATTGCAATAATTTAAAGTAAGAAAAGGTGTTAGAGAGAGTCTGGCTTTGCTTTTTTCTAACAATTCTTTGGGGTGTGTGAGAGTGCATGCCTGTAGAGGTCAGAGGACAACCTGTGGGAGTCCGGAGTCAGCTGTCTTTACCATGTCAGTTCCAGGGGTTCTTTATGCACTAAGCCATCTCAGGACCCCCCCCCAAAAAAAACGGCTTCAACATTAAAACTGCTGGTGGTGAAGTGGCCAAGTGATGTGGACGGAGCCAGGAGAGGAGAGAACTTCTCTTCCTCCGTAAGGCAGTCTGGGAGCTGGGAGAAGGAGACTCACCCCATTTTCCAGGAGGTTGCAGTTTTGAGGCTGTCTTTCCGGGACGGAGATGCAGTCTGTCTCGCTAATACTGAACTTGAGTGGGAAATTGCTAGTGGGATTCTAAAAAAGCAACAGAGACATCTAATTGTCTCATCTAATTGCAACAACGACCATCTCTCTTGTACAGATTGGGGAGCAAAGCACAGAGGGTTAGGTGATGCTGCCTGTGTCAACCCAGTCCAGGTCTACACTGTCCACCAAAGTCTGGGGCTTATTAAATGGCCATAACAGACCTAAAGGGTACAGTCAGTGGGTGTGGTGGCATATGCCTGAATCCCAGCACTCAGGAGGCAGATCTGTGTGAGTTCAAGGGCAGCCTGGTCTACACAGCAATCCCAGGCAGCCTGGGCTACATGACATTCTGTCTAAAAGGGTGAGGGGTTGTGGTGTTTACCACAGATAGCTGTATGACACTCTTCAATTGCCCTTCAGTACCGTCCTGTATAAAGTAGGAATAAAAATCCCTTCCCCTCAGGTCTCATGCCAGGAGACAGGCTGACAGTACAGACTTGTCCTTCCTGTGAGTAGATGAAATGGTTGGCCTAGAACTCATTATATAGCTGAGACTAACCCTGAACTTCTGATCCTCCTGCCTCCACCTGCCGAGTGCTGGGGTTCAAGTCCAGGGTTTCATGCCCCCAGGGCAAACACTCTACCAACTGAGCTACATCCCCAGTGCCCAGATAACAGAAACCTACACTGCCTGTTTCCCAGGCTGGGGTGGCAGACACTCACCTGACCAGATGGCATGGTGACATCTATCAGGCAGAAGAGGGGCTTCCCTGGACGCCCATTGTTAAATGCCTCTAGGGCCTGCTCAACAATATCCTCATGTGTTGGTGGACGCTGGGCTTCACAGGCTACCAGAGCCAAGGCCACCACCAATACAAATGCCTTCCACAGCCTTGCCATTGTCTCTGACACATTGCCACTCCTGACTCCTTTTATTTAGGTGGTACTTAGGCTGCCTTGCTCAAGGACAGCTGGCGACATAAATGGCTGATGGCTCCAGAAAGGGAGCCCCTTCTGTCCTTGGCTGGAGATCATTATTGGCCAATGTCATGAAACACTGTTGGCCAAGAGAGGCAAGGAGGTTTGGGCAACAGACCAGGACCTGGAAGTGAGTCCTAAGCTAGAAGCAAGAGCCTTGTTGTCAGCTGGGCATGCCTGTTCACTCTGGGCCTCCGTGCCCCTACTGGACCCTCCAGACCTGCTCCATTCACAGCTCTTCTCTCTTTGCCCGACTCCCCTGCTTTGATCCCAATAACAGCTGCCCAGAACCCATGGACTCCACATGGAGTTCTTCATCCAGCTTCACAAGAAGACGATCGTTTTGAGGTTACACTCAGGGGAGACCCTAGTGTCACCCATTTTAAAAATACATCCTTGTCACACTCTGAACATCATCACTTCTTGGTCTTTAAAATTGTTTATGGACTGGGCATGTGGCAACACTCCTCTAATCCCAGTACTTGGGAGACAGAGCCAGGTCGATCTCTGTAAATTCAAGGCCAGTCTGGTCTCCAAAGTGAGTTTCAGGCCAGCCAGGACTACACAGTAGGACCCTGTCTTTAAGAATAAAATGAAGGTAAGCCGGGCGGTGGTGGCACACGCCTTTAATCCCAGCACTCGGGAGGCAGAGCCAGGCGGATCTCTGTGAGTTCGAGGCCAGCCTGGGCTACCAAGTGAGTTCCAGGAAAAGGCGCAAAGCTACACAGAGAAACCCTGTCTCGAAAAACCAAAAAAAAAAAAAAAGAATAAAATGAAGGTATGGTATGGTAGTGCACAGCTTTAATCCCAGCATGTGGGAGGCAGAGACAGGAGGGTATTAGTGTTACAGCTCTGAGGGGAAAGGTGTCCTGGCCGTAGGGAGCCACGTCACACAAGAGATTGGGGAAGAGACAAGAAAATGGCTGCCTCTGTTTGGGGAAGGGAAGGAAGAGGCAGCAAAGACCTGATGTCGTGGGTCCTTTTTCCACCTATGACCTTGAGGTACCAACCCTAGGACGTGGCCTCTGAGTTGTTCTCCTCAATTTATATCATAATAAGCTCCCTATACTCCTTAAGCAGACTCCCTTGGATTTCTTGCCATAATCTGAGGAGGAGGCAAGCTTTATATAGAACTTCTTGGGAGGCTCAGCGCTTTCCAGGGTGACCTGGGATTGGTGGGATTCTGTGGCCTGTGGGAGCCCATTTTCAGGTTCCTCATAGCTCTACCCAGCAGGTCCGCATAGAGGATGATTAGACCACGGGCCTGAGTGCAGGTGTCTGAGATGGTCTGCACTTGGCTGTGCTGCAGGGGGAGGTCTTTTGCTCTACCCCTTGGGGTCTCTATAAATACCCTGGGGCAGAGACAGGGCCCTTTGGTATAGGTTCCAGGCCCTCTCGAGGCTATCCTTTTTTCTATCTATTCATCTCCACAATCTAAATCCTTCTATCTAATATTTCTTGCTGCTCGCACTCAAGAAAACTCTGGGGACTGTGGAGTTGGTGGGTAAACGCCCCGCAGTGGCCCAATCTTGGGCTTTTTTTTTTCTTATTGTAGGGCTGAGCTTGGCTGACTATATTCCAAGGGACTGGAAGTCAAGGTCACTTGTGCTTCAAGGGACTGGGCCTGGCTGACAGAGCAGTCTGGGTGCGGGGCCTGGTCATTTGCACCTCGAGGGACTTACAGAGGGTATCTGTGAGTTCAAGGCCAGCCTGGTCTACATAGTGAGATCCAGGATGGCTAGGACTACACTGAGACCCCGTGTCAATAAATAAATCAGTAAAACAAAGTAAAACGTATTTACTTATTCAATGCTATTTTTCAGTATGTGTCCAGGCACACATAGCCACGGCAGGAGTATGGAAGTCAGAGAACAACTCTGTGGAATGGGTTCTCTTCTTCCACCGTGTGGCTCCCAGGGTAAAAGTCAGATACTGGTCCGTACAGCAAGTCCCTTCCCCACTCAGCCATCTTGTCAGCCATTCTTGGTCTGTGCTAAGACCAAGTATAAAATTTGAAAAATTAAGACCTGATAATCCATGGCCCTCCAGTCCCTCACAGCTTTGACATCAGCTTCCCTGTGTTTTGCCTCTAGCAGCTCACAGCCCAAATGGACACACATTCCAGTTTGGGGGTACAGGCAGTTCCAGGAAGCAGCTTGAAAGTGGACCTAGATAGGCCTTGCCTTTCTTCTGGAGGCTCCCTTGCTAGTGGAATAGCCCTCAGTTTTTCAACCAGCCCATGGCTAAGTTGCTATTTTTCTCCTAAAAGAGATCAGAAAGCAGGAGATGAACCAGCCTGCTTCCATGCTAGGCTTACGAGCCATCGTATAGTAAAGACCAACTTGATTCTTTGCTGTTTATGATTAAACCTGTTTCTCAAGGATTGGTTCCCACCTGTAACCTTACCTACAGATGGTTCTGTACTGCCTGTTCCAGGGAATGGCAACCATGTATTTGTTCCAAAAAGTATAATAACCACCTTGCATCCCTACCAGTGTTTCAGAAGGTTATTTTGACCTCTAATTCAAGAACTTTTTGCCTCAGCTTCCTGAGTGGAGCATTGGCAATGGGATGTTATTTCATTGTGATTTTGATTTTGATTTTCCTATTGGTTAATAATTTTAGTGTCTTTTTTTGCACTTAGTATCTGTTTGCAGATCTTTTTTTTTCTTTTGTTTTTTTGGTTTTTTGAGACAACGTGTCTTAGGGTTTCTATTTATGTGAAGAGACATCGTGAATCATTTAACTGAGGTAGCTTACAGTTTCAAAGGTTTAGTTCATTATCATCATGGTAGGACATGGTAGTGTGTAGGCAAACATGGTGCTGGAGTTGTAGCTGAGAGTTCTACATCTTGCAGAGGCATCAGAAAGTAGTCTGTGTCACTGTGTATAGCTTGAACATAGGAAACCTCAAAGCCCTCCCTTACAGTGACACACTTCCTCCTACAAGGCCACCCCTCCCATTAGTGCCACTCCCTTTGGGGACTATTTTCTTTCAAACCACCACACAGAGTTTCCCTCTATAGCCCTGGCTGTCCTGGAATTCCCTCTGTAGACCAAGCTGGTCTTGAACTCACTCAGATCTGGGCTCCTCTGCCTCCTGAGTGCTGAGATTAAAGGCATGCGCCACCACTACCCAACTGTAGATCTTACTTAGTGCAATGCTTATCCAAATCCTTATAAAGTTTCTTTTCTATTTTTCTTTAATTAATCAATCAATTTCTCACAGCTGAAGTTTGAGAGAAAAAGAACAAGGCAAGCAAGTTGTAAATCCCAGCAACTGCCAGGAGAAGGGAGGCCGAGGCAAGGAAAGCATATCTTTTGAGTTAGTGTCTGTAAGCAAGTGTAGAAAACGTGTGTGTTGAGGGAGAGAGCCTTCAGAAAGCACTGAGAAATCCAGGGGGTCAGGGCAAACAGGCTTAAGATTTGCTTGGTATCCAAAAAGGAGATGTAAAGAGGAAAGTTATACTTTTCAGTTAGAATTTAGAAAAGTGAACAGGTTGAGGCTGGAAAAATGGTTCAATGGTTAAAAACCCTGGCTGCTCTTGTAGGTAGAAGGCTTGGATTCCCTGTAACTCCAGTTCCAGGAAAACCAGCACCTTCTTCTGACCTCTCAGGCACCAGGAACACATGTGATACAGACATACATGTAGTTTAAACACTTACATATAAAACAAAATAATAGTTTAAAAAGAAACTAAGAGCCGGGCGGTGGTGGCGCATGCCTTTAATCCCAGCACTCGGGAGGCAGAGCCAGGCGGATCTCTGTGAGTTCGAGGCCAGCCCGGGCTACCAAGTGAGTCCCAGGAAAGGCGCAAAGCTACACAGAGAAACCCTGTCTCGAAAAACAAAACAAAACAAAACAAAACAAAACAAAACAAAAAAAAGACACTAAGAAAAGAGAAGCAGCCAGGCAGTGGTGGCACATACCTTTAATCCCAGCACTTGGGAGGGAGAGGCAGGCCTGGTCTCTAAGGCCAGCCTGATCTACAAAGAGAGTTCCAGGACAGATATGGCTGTTACACAGGAAAAGCCCTGTCTCAAGAAGAAGGAGGAGGAGCAGGACTAGGAGGAGAAGGAAGAACAAGAAGAGGAGGAGGAGGAGAGGGAAGAGGAGGAGGAGGAGGAGGAGGAGGAGGAGGAGGAGGAGGAGGAGGAGGAGAAGGAGGAAGAGGAAGAAGAAGAAGAAGAAGAAGAAGAAGAAGAAGAAGAAGAAGAAGAAGAAGAAGAAGAAGAAGAAGAAGAAGAAGAAGAAAAAGAAGAAGAGGGAAGCAGGCTTAGTCCATGTCTGTAAACAATTGCCTGCCCTCCCTCCTTCCTTCCTTTGTGGGAGCCCGTTCTCAGGTTCCTCATGGCTTTACCCAGCAGGTCCGCATAGAGGATGATTAGGACCACGGGCCTGAGTGCAGGTGTCTGGGATGGTCTGCACTTGGCTGTGCTGGGGGAGGAGGTCTTTTGCTCCACCCCTTGGTGTCTCTATAAAAACCCTGGGGCAGAGACAGGGAATAGGTTCCAGGCCTTCTCGAGGCTATCCTTTATTTTCTATCTGTTTATCTCTACAAGATTCTATAAATCCTTCTATCTAATATTTCCTGCTACTCACACTCAAGAAAACTCTGGGGAACTGTGGGGGTGGTGGGTAAACGCCCCACATTCCTTCTTTTTAATTTTTTGCTTTTTTCATATATATATTAAGATATGGAGTCTTGCTGTGTGGCCCACTTAATTTCTGGGCTCGGGTGATTTTCCTGCTTCTATCTCCTAAGTAGCTGGGCTGTCAAAGAGTTCCACCACACTCAACTTGCACATTTTAAAATACAGCTTTATGAATTGTCCACAATTGTTTTAACACTAACATGTTTTTATTTCAGACTTGGAGTGGCAGCAGACACCTGTAATCCCAGCCCTTGCAAGATGGAGGCAGGAGGATCAGTAGTTCAATGACATCCACAGCTATGGGGCGAATAAGAGACCCTGGTTTTGGTTTTGTTAGAGAGAGAGAGAGGACATTAAGTTGAATGGGTAGGGAAGTGTGGAGGGCTTGGAAGGATTTGGGAGCAAGGAAAATATGAGCAGAATATATTGTACAAAAATTTTTAAAAAGGGGCTGGTGAGATGGCTCAGTGGTTAAGAGCATTTGCTGCCCTTGCAGAGGACCCAGGTTCATGCCCAGCACCCACATGGCAGCTCACAACACATTTGACGTCCTCTCCATCTTCCAAAGGCATCCATATACTCAGGCATACACATAAAATACATCTTCTAAAAAATTAATTAAAATTATAATATTGCCATCAGGGGGTAAAGAATTCAGTAAAATCAAAGCTTTAGGGGGGCAGGGATGCAGCTCAGTGGTAGAGCATTTGCCCAGCATGTGTGGATGCTGGGTTCCAATCTCCAGCACTGACAGAAAAAGTCAAGGCTTCAGACTCCTTGGAGTCTGCAGATTCCTAAGACATGGCTGTCCACAAGTTTGAGACGTGCTTATGGTCCTCAAAATTGACAAAGAAATAAGGCCTATAGGGCTGAAGAGAGCCTCAGCGGTTACGGGCACTTGCAGGAAGTGCCGCCCCCACCTCCAGAAGAAAGTCAGCCACCTATGACCTTCAAAAGACCAGGTTCAGTGGGGTGGTCCCACTCCAAAATTCTGTATGTCCGTCTGTTCCACATAGCACACAATGACAGACCCAGCCAAAAGAATTCATAAGGGCTGGTGAATTGGGAAGAAAGACCCATCTCAGCTCCTGTGGG